CAAGGGATACTTCACGCAAAATATAAAATGTACTCAAAATGAAGATATTTTGATGAAAGCTGAAAACCTGTAGACATCAACTTCAATGGAAGTTAAAAACAAATACTGTGGAAGCAAATGGTTACAGATTTCCAGCTTTCTTCAAAATATTTTCTTGAATGTTCAACAAAACAAAGAAACTTATGAAGGTTTACAGCCACCTTAAGCTGCATTCACACCAGATGCCTATGAAGCACCAAGTGCAAGAAAGTCAATGTCAATGTTGGCACAAATGACCGCTAGAATTGAGCGTTTGGCGCGAATCACTCAAGTTGGAAAATCTGAACTTCGTTGGACATTTGCACCATGTTAACCAATCATCAGCTTGCTCTTGTAGGGGTGTGATTATGATGTAGCGCCTATTGTTGGTGTCCCAAAGAAAAATCCTCTTGCAGACACCAGACAACAGCTCATCAAAGTGTGCTCGGCTCAGTCTGAAGTACCACTGAAAGCCTCCATCATCCAGGTATAGTTTCTGGTGTAATTGATAAAATCACAGAGCTGGGTGCACCTCAGAAAGGATCTAGTGGACTCAGACACGGCGCCGAATGAATCTACACTGTTTTACAGCAAATCTTTCAAATCTTGAGTCACTGGGTAGACAGAAGCCCTGCACATGAAAAGAATCTATGTTTATTGTGACGTGAATTTGATGCCCAAATGAAGCCAGTAAACTCTAAATGTTCATGTGTCTATTTACGCACAAATAGCGTGATTTATTCATGCATGCCGCATCTGGTGTGAACACAGCATTAGAGTGAATAAATGTTTATTTTTGGCTGAACTATTACTTTGCAAAATGATAATTCTGTCATCATTTACTCACCCTCATGTTGTCCCATATCCAAAGGATTTTTAAGAGATCTCTGTCCTTTCATTTAAAGTCTGTTCACCCGAAATTCTTGACACTTTGAAATATTCATGAATGATAATGAAATAAATCCTAAAGATTTGAGTCGTTGGGTTTAATTTAAACCAGATTTAAAAAAATTTAAAGCAATTATTTAATTTATTTGTATTAATATTATTGTTACTAGGGCTGCACAATATAATATATCGTTTCAGCATGTTGATCAGCACAACAGTTGAGAATGCACGAGATTTGTGCAGTCATTGCAAAGTATACCCATAACAGAGTGAATCTTTATCATTTGTATGTGCTTTAAAGGCATTTCAGGAGAGTTTAAAACATTCTGGCATAAAAAAAACTACATTTGTAACTTTAATAAAGAATATTTTTACTGAATTATCAATAAAATGAAGACTATACAGTGTTATTTTAAATTTCATTATTCAATTTCTGTACCTGAATACTGTTTGACTCTATGGACAAACCATAAAGCACTGTTTTTGTTGCCATGTTATAATAATATTTGCTTGCGATTTGTTTATTATTTTGTATATATGATTCACATACTTACAAAAATCACCCTAATCAAAGTAAATTAATGGTTTCTTTCCAAATGGAGCTATTTAAGCTATCTGATGAAATTGTATTTACATTGCCATTTAGATTGCAGAAACAAAATATCGCAATGTCAGATATTTCCAATATCATGCAGCCCTAATAGTTTTATGTCTGTGAATGAACATATTTTCAGTGGATGGACAGAAAAAAAAACTAAAATAATTTGTGTTGTGACGATGTTCCTATAGGTTTAGAAAAAAGTTATCATCATTTTAACAGAATTTTCATTTTGCTGTGAACTAATTGATGCCAAAAATGATCCAATTTTAAGACAGGATTGGCAAACTTCGTGTAAACCGGCAGTTGTGATGAATGTTTATGTACTTCCAGCTGAAACCGAATATGGAGTAGGGGGTGGGGCTTTCTTTTTGTGTATCATTCCCTCCTTAGCATACTAATGGTAAAAGGGGCGTGGTTTAGAATATGCAGAAGCTATCAAATGTCATCAAAGAAGGACTGGCACTCCAAACACAAATATTCAAATTCTTTTTATTGATTAACTTTTTTTTGTGGATTTTCTTGCCCAGATTAATTGTTTACCTAAAGATTAATAATGTGCTATCAAAATAAAACATTTTTAATTTTAAACAGTACATTTTTTACAGACTTTAAGGCCAACAGTCAATGTGAAGAGTTCAGTCAATGAACAAGCTATCAGTAAACATGTTGACTGCTCTGAGTCCAGCAATGCAGTTATAAACAGGTGACACTGTTTAAAAGCATTGACACACAAACACTGTCTGTCTCTTCAGGTCACCACCTCCAGCGGACGCCTCTGCCAAGCTCTGAAGGCTGTCGTCGTGGCAACCAAGGGCGCAGCCCAGAATTATCCTTCAGTTCCTGCCACGCAAGAAATGGTGGACAGAGTAGCGGATCTATCCCAGCATGCAGCTGGCTTCTCGGGGCTCCTGCAGCGATTAGCTGAGATATCTTAATGTTATTCGTGAGGAGTTTTTCCTTTATTATTTTTTTCACAGTGGAATGCCTTATTATTTTTGTTATTTTTATAAATATATATATATATATTTCATAAATGACTGCGCTTGAAGAGGTATCAAAAGCCTGTCACTGCTTGTATTAGTTAAACAGTGATCAAACAGTGTGTGTTGGAGTGTATCTGCTTGCCTGTGTAAGTTGACACTATAGAGTGGTGCTTTTCTTTTCTTTTTTTGTGGTGCCAAGCACACTTAAAATGTTTTAATAACTTATTGATGGGTGTTTTGTTTGAAGATGTTTGCAACCTCAGGCACATTTTAATAGCTTTATTTTGTCCCCTTAATCATATTGGCATCAAACAATGTAAAAGTGGTCTCTGTTTAAGGGTGCTCTTGTAAACTGGTCTCATGTTCAGTTTGTTTGTAAATGTGAAGTGGCCTTGGTGTTATAGAGATTGAAGTGATTTATTTCACAGCCCGGGGAGGGTTTAGTTGTACTGCAAAATGTTACCAAATCTGATAAAGCTAACCGGGATTCAGAATGCTTGATTATTTAAACAGACATACTATTTGAATGAGAGAACAGATCGTTTACTGAATTTCTGGAAGTGAAATCAGATAGATTATTTTCCCACAATGCTGATTCAGAGATAAACCTGTCTGTCAGGTCCACTTTTTTTTTTTCACTCACTGCTTTATTTTCTCTTCCCACAATTCTCACACTCCCACAGTCGGTTTTTACACATGCTCACCAAGGCAGCTTAAAGGTTTAGGCAACAACTCTTGCACAATATATATATATATAAATATAATACAGGGTTTTTGTTTTGAAACAGGCTATGCAGCATTTCCGAAAACAGCAATATATATCTATCAGAAGCTTCCATGGTGGCTGGCAGTCGAAATGCTGGTGCTTACAGTAGTTCATACACTAACTGACTCGGTTTTAACCGAACTAAGCTCTGCTAACACAGGTCGAAACATGCACCTGTCTTGAAAAATCAAGTCATTGTCATAAATGTACTCTCATGTTTACAAGACGCCCTCATAGTCCGTAAGTCAAAGCCCATTCCTCCATCTGTTGATTGCTCCATCTTCTCTCTCGATTTGTCTGTAAATATACCCACATCTCCTCATTTTATATTCAGGATTTACATGTTGGCCACCGATAAAACGCTGTCAGTGTTAATATTGCTGTTTGATTTGACTGGTTCATTGTGTTTTTACAGTGACTTGCATTTTAAAGATTTAGCCATAACATGTCACAGTTTAAATCTCAAGTAGCCTTGCTTTTATTACTGCCTTTTCAGGTAAAAGTGGCCTTTTTAGTTTTTACATATTTTGTCAGTCGTATCACAATGGAAGCAGCGGGTTTGGTTTTTAAAAATCGAATTGAGTGGATTGAGTTGTTTGGATGGATTACTCTGGTGTTGGTTGATTTAAAGTGCCATCTTGTGGACTTTATCAGTATTACTACACCACATACTTGGATTAGATTAAAGATAATAATAACAGGGCACCTAGACAGTTACTTCAAAGTATTCATTTAAACATTTGCTGGTAGAAAAATAATATTGCCTTTTAATAAGATTTCATTTCCTTCTGTACAAAAATATCTCTGTATATATTCACACTGCATTACCACAATAGTCCTCAGAAAGCAAGCGTTCCTCTCAGAAATCTCACCAACTTTGTTTGTCTTATGTTCTTAAATTAAGTGCTTACAGTAATGCTTAGATTTGATGGCCCTATATAGTTATATTTATTTGATTTTGTTAATCAAACGTCTGCATGGCTTTAAGTTGCTTATTAAAAGAAATATGCACATATAACCAGGGATGTTTCATGCGACTTTGCATTTAATAATTCAAGGTTTGCTTTTGAGAATGTGATTTTTTTGTTTGTTGGTTTTTGTTTTCATTTGGTACCCGAATGTATTTTGACATGCATATTTTGTGCTTCTTGACACTGTCAATGTTCATTTCGACATTTTGTTTGTAAGACACGCTCCACAGGTACTTTGCATTTAGGGAGTATTTGGTTCTTGTCAAATGGTGAGATTCTGCAAAATACAGTTTTGTTAATGAATCCATATGGTTGACTTGTTGTTTTTTCAACGGGGTTGTCATGTGTCATGTCTTTCTTTTTTTATTATTATCACTTTAAGTGAAAAAAACAGCCTTTGCTGGCTAGCCTGGTCTGGCTAGTTTTTCATAGATGGCCAAGTTGAGGTTTAGCTTGACTGGTTTCTCATTTTAAAAGCGCTGTAAACTCCAGTGACAGCACATATGGATCATTCTGGTACAACACCAAACCAGATGAAATTAAAGCATACATTTTCGATTGTGGGCTATGAAGGACACAGGGGTCACAACATTAAATGGCTCAACCCTTCAGCATAAAACTCTTCCTGAAATATTTTGGATGAAGATTGCAATGAACACTGCTGAAGTTGTATTTATGCCTGTTATTTATGCATATATTATGCAGCCAGTTGTATGTATGTTTTTATGTTTGTCTGTCTGGTTCTCTTCCGGGGATCAGCAGCAAGCGGTGACGCGCACCGCGCTCGTGCACGCCTCCAGAAGTTCGAGCGAGAGGCAAAATGGCGGAACTCGAGGATGTTACGTTAGACGGAAAACCGCTTCATTCGCTTCGTGTTGCGGATTTAAAAACCGCCCTGGAAGAAAGAGGGCTCGCAAAAAGTGGACAGAAAAATGCACTTATTAAACGACTGAAAGGGGTGAGTTTGGTCTAAAGGTGGCCTTTTAAAACCGTGCGCTCGCTGTCAAGTTGAGCAGGAGACGAGACCCGACAGACAGGCCAAGTATCGGTGTATCGAGAGCGGGAATGTTTGTCGAGTGCATGTGTACAGTTTGGATCACTTACCTTGTCACACTTTAGTTTTCCTCCGCAATTATGCAGTTGTAGCACGTAGTTTAAATCATACATTTTAAAATATGCTTTCTAAGCAGTCTGTGGGTCATGACAAGCCGAGGTCTCAGAGTTGACATCGTGCCCGCGCTTCGTATGTTTGTAGTTGAGGGCGCGCGCGTGCGCTTGTCAGCCGCATGCACGTTTGACAGTTGCGCGACATTTATAAACAGGCTAGAAATATCATCATGATTAAGTTACAGAGTATGAACGCGCTCATTAATTAAGTCTGGGTCATTCATATGGGATGTTTTATGTAAATCGCACTACTAATTTGGTTAAGTATTGCGTTATAGGGGGTCGAAGCATTTCACGCTTCTTTCATCCTGTCGTATTCAGATGAAAACTTTTCTTTTAGCCCCTATTTTGCATCGACAATTATCATAACGACCGACGATCTGTGAGATTAACAGTGTCATCTGCTAAGTATGTGCTGAAGTAACGTAGTGAATAAGATAAAAAAGCTAATGCCACTCCCACCGCCAATATAAACACTCTTAGTTCAGAAATACGTTACAATTCCACTTGAATTAAGTCGGTAAACTGTAATGTTGTGCTGGTCGGGTAAGTTTGATATTTATTGTAGTTTTCTTTCCTTTTCTTCATATAAGCACTGTGTTAGATCAAAATTAGCATACATATGTCATGCATGTGTTGGCGACTAATTAGTGTGTAATATGAAGTAACGTTAGTTCAGTTGTTTATTAGGTTTGGTCTGTCTTTTAAATGTGCATGTTTTTCTGTGTCAAGGCACTGATGTTGGAGAATCTCCAACGATCTTCAACCTGTCACAGTGGTATTCAGCCCAACTCACAGGTAAGATTGTTTCATGCATATAAGACGTCCAAACATTTTTTGTAAAAGATTAATAAACTTAATTTAAGAAATAAAAATGAAATATGCTAGGGCTGCACGATATTGGAAAAGTCTTGACATTGCTATATTTTGTTTCTCTGGAAATTGTGATATGAATACAATCAGCAATGGGCAGTATTTATGATACATGTATTTCAAAAACACAATAGTATTTTGTCATTTGTATTTAATAAGGTTTATGAAAAAAGTTTAAATATTATATCAAGATACTTTAGTGTCTTGTATTTTTGTATTTTTAAAATACTGTAAAACACTTTGTAGGAAGTCTACAGGATGACATCATAAAAATGTGGATTGGTGCTTTCTTAGTTATTTGCCATGGCTTGAGATCAGACCAGAAAATTGATAAACATTGAAGAAGGTGGTCAATGCTTGGAGAATGGATGGAAATTATGCAACACACAAAGACTATATCAGACAAATGGCATGGGTTGGTTTGGGAATAAGTCCACAATCATTAAACATAATATACTGCACAATGCTAAGACCAGTAATGACAGTATAGTGTACAATGCATTTACATCTTTGCTTGAGAAATCCAGCCTAAAAACAGGAATATGGAGCCTACAGCACATAATCATTCTCAGTGCTACAGGTGGAAATGTAGAAGAAGCTTAGAAATATAAAACACCCAATGATGGTGTACTGGTGTTCACTAAGTGAGTAAACTAGGACTTTTCCAGTTAAATAGGAACTGAAAAACTATTGGGAGAGTACATATACTGCACAAATAATGGTAGTTTTGGATGAATTGCATCCCTGTATATAATTTCACCGGATAGCTTGAATAACTCTATTTGGAAAGAACTCTTTAATTTAGATTGATTGGGCTGATTTTGTAAGGAAAAAAATATATTATAAAGCAGAGAAAATGTCAAATATACAGCAATTTATGGTTTTTCGGAGAGTCAAACAGTATTCAGGTACAGAAATTGAATAATGAATTATGTAATAACACTGTATAGTCTTGTATAGTCTAATTCAGTAAAACTGTTCTTCGCTGTGGTGACCCCAGATTAATAAAGGGACTAAGCGGAAAAGTAAATGAATGAATGAATAAATATTCATTAAAGTTACAGAATGTTTTAACATTCTTGAAATTCCTTTAAATCACATGCTAATTTGAAACTTTCAGTCTATTATAGTTATACTTCGCAATGACTCTACAAATCTTCTTTTGTGCTGATCAGCTATAACCCCAACTTAACATTGCATATCTTGAGATGTAACTGTTGCAGACACACTGATGTTGAAACAATATATTGTACAGCCCTATTATATGCTACTGAAGTGTAATTTCTAAACAAATTAACAGCATTATAATTATAGAAACTGTTAGATATAAATCATTTTTTAACCCACGGAAATATTAATCATTGCCATTAAGTGCTTATTACATGTAGCCGTCACGTCACATGGCTCCAGGAATTGTAATTGAGACAACTATAGTGACTGTAGTGTGCTTTCTCTATATGTATCTCAGATTGGAGAGGAGATGAGTCAGAACAGCTTTATAAAGCAGTACTTGGCCAAACAGCAGGAGCTCCTCAGACAGAGACTGGAGAGAGAAGCCCGGGAGGCCACCGAGGCAGACGGTAATCAGACTCACACGTGCAAATACACACAGGTTATAACACTGACTTGACTGCACCATCTGTGCTGGCATTCTCAATATACAATGATGTATAGTGTGAAAACCCATTTAGTGCTTCCAGTGATGAGCCTGCCATGCTAATACTGATGCACCAGTGTTTTGCACTGGGTGAATGTGAGTTAACTTAACTTCTCACACTTGCAGTGTGCTCTGAGGAAATAATGAGTAGTATTCGTTGCCAGTCAAACTCATACTTTGTTTTCTTCTTAGATACTGTTACTGTAAACTTTATTGTCGACTTTTGGGGCAATTTGTTTTGCAGCGTACTAGTATTACAACACGTATATCATACCACACGCTTAAGACTAACATTAAACAACATTAATAGTACTGAAAACAGCAACTACATTTTCCTATAAAATTCAGCAAATGGATGGCACAAGGAACGAGTGAAAATTTAAATCTGTTGGTCCTTGCCAAAGGAATGCTATACCGAGGTCCTGAGGGAAGTATTTGAAATGAATCAAATAGAGGATGGGATATATCATATGTAATTTGATGGGCTTTCTTTAACACCTGACTTTAATACAAATAGGATAATAACCCTGGCACTTTTACCCCTAAAACTTTGATGCCGTTATTCAAAACCTTAGACGGCGAGTTCTTCTGTTTTATTTTTAAAGTAGCAAACCAACAAATCATAGAAAAGGTTTAAATGGATTCTAGATAGGCCTTATATAATGCCACCATCAGAGTCCTATCAATATTACATTTAGCTAATTTCCGCAAACAATAAAGTCTTTGTTGTCTTGTCCTGTATAGTTGCCGTATTTTCAAGAAAATTTTATTTATGAATAATAGTACCTAGGTACTTATAACTTTTCACTTAATAAATCGGGTGTTTGTCCAACATAGCACCTAACATTACATCCCGCTTCCGCTGCAAGTCAATGCGCATCTTTTTAGATTACATTTGTATTCAAATGCATTAATCTGTGCATAAAATCATATATATATATATATATGCACATGCATACATTATTCTCTTTAAAAAGCTGCATGTTTGACTTTTACAATATTCTGCTTTCAGAGTCACAGAGTCCTGCAGGCCCAGAGGAGGATGACAACGATAGCACTTCATTCTTATTAGAGAAAGTAGGTACATATAAAAGTGACTGAAATGTTTGCACAAAGTAAATGTTTACAGGATGTGGTACAGTTGTCTGCTGTTATATTTATTTTATTAGCACATACACAGATTTTTGTGGCACATAATTTGCTTGGGCGATTTAAAAAAAAAATCTGATTTCCTAATTTGATTCTAAGCCATATGTTCTTAATCGAATTGGAAATATTTCAGTTTTCAGAAATGCTGTTCGAATTATTAAATAATGTGTGTGTGTTGAAGTGCATTTGTTTATCTGATTTAATTGTCATTTTGCTCACAACAGTGTGTATTAGCCTTTATGATATGGCTGCACAATATATGATTTTCGCAGTAATATGACAATAGTTGCATCACATGTTATGCAATTTTGATTTTGTATTATAATTGATCATTTGCATGTGTTTTTTGACGCCTGTGATTGTATAATGATTTTTAAAGCATTCAGATATAAAAAAATGTACCATTTGTGACCTTACCAATGTCTACTTTTATTGAAATATTTAAATTTTTATCATTCAGTTACTGTACTTGAATACTGTTAGATATGGTTAATGATAAAACACTTAATCTTTTTCTTGCTTCTGTTTATCGATAGTTATGCATGAAAAAACTCGCAATACTGAAATGCAGTGCAAATAGCACAGACCACAACAAAAATGTGTCGTAGGACCCCAAAAAGTTTATAGATCGTTTATTAGATTTTATGGAGATGCAATCCCACTGCAGAATCACCACAGTTGATCTAACATTGTAAATTCTTTCCAAATAGAGATATTAAGTCATCTAGTAAAATTGTATTCACATCGTAATATTTAAACAAAAGAATAGTATAATATAATAATGAAAAAATTTCTAATATTTTGCAGCCCTACCTCATGACGTGTTAAAATATATCTATTATAAATTAAAACTGCATAGCAATATTATTCACAATACTGTTTTTGTATTTTTGATCAAATTAATGTAGTGATAATAAGAGCGAGTTAACAACCAATGCTTTTGAGTACTGTACTTTTACATGAAATGATGACTGTATTTGTAACATCTTAAATGAAAAAACTAAAATTATTAATATTATGTTAAAAATTTCAGACTTAAAAACTTAAGTAAAAGTGAAAGAGAGATGTAGAGACAGCACTAGAACACAGGGAGCTGTCCAGAAAACAAACATTACATTTTATGTCAACATTCAGTTTGTGTGAAACTTATACAGTACACCCTTTACAAATCTCTCTTTTAAATTCATATTTTGAATAGGAAGCTTTACAATAATATATTTGTGCATATACATTAGTCAGTACTGAAGCCATATCTGGAGCTTATCTAACAAAATAACTTACGATAATCCAAAAACTAGTACACCCAAATGTATGTTATAGAAAATGAGGTGTACGCAGTTATGCCAAGCACTGTATATCATGTTGTGTTTCCAATGATGAGCCTGCCATGCTAATACTGATGCACCAGAGTTTGACTGTGTCTCACACTGGGTGTAAGTGTGTTCAACTAAACTTCTCACACTTGCAGTGTGCTCTGAGGAAACAGTACAGCTTTAATTTACCATAAAGCAAATATATTTGATTTGCTTATTAAATTGTTGCAATATTTCTTCTGCAAATTGTGTCTATAAACAAATGTCAATTTTTTAATGTTTAATTCTTCGATTACAATGTTTTCCAGCATCACATTGCACATGCTCATCTGTCAGCTGGAGGAGGGCTCCCACAGGACCCTGGGTTAGTAGGATCACAGAAGTTAGATACAGGCCCTGTTCCTGTCTCCCAAGAGTCATCTGACAGTAAAGCTGGGAGGATCTGGCATCCTTCTTTCCCCTCTGGACATGAGGATGTCGCTACACCCTCCCCTCCACGAGCAGTTGCCTCCTTGTCTGTACGTGTGGTTGGACAACCTGAGCGCCAAGGCCTGCCGCCTCGTTCACAAGAAAGAGAGGGAACGGCCCCAGTTGAAGCAGGTCCTGCCCATTCAATGCTGCAGCTCAGTCGTTCTGCAAGGGCAGCAGGTGGTGCTCAAGTTGACAGTGATGATGATGATGATGAAGAGGACGATGATGACAGTGAGGACGATGATGAGTGGGGTCCGGCCTCGCATGGGAAGAAGAACGTACGGGCTCCTCCAGCACGTGCTCCACCAGCCGCTGCCCCCCAACGCTCCCGTCGAAAACTTCAGCCCCCACAACACATCCCTCCCCAGCTTCAGCCAGTCCTCCAGCCACCTCTGCAGCTCCGTCAGCCCACTCCTCCACCATCTCCACCTCCAGAGCTCTCATTCCCATTACCTGATACTCCCAAACAGAGTCCACATGACCAAGATGAGCCAGCGGGCCTAGCGGAAGCTGCTGTTCCAGGGCCAGGCATGGTCTCTCCTCCATCCCTCACACGACAGGAGTCAAGCTCCAGTTCTAGATCTAGCAGCCCAGAACCTCCATCCACACGCAAACCTGGTCCCCTTAGCCTCTTGGTCCGCAAAATGGAGTCTGAAGGTGTGTTTGGTAGTGCACAGAACATAGAGGTGAAGGGTGAAGGGGACATGGAAGTTGAAGAGCAGGAACATAGTGAAGCAGCAGTGCAAGACTCAACTCGGGAGCTTTCTAGGACAGATGTGTCCTCCTCAGTATCCACAATGCCCCCTGATCAACAAGGTATTCAAGATTCTGAGTTGGAGAAAGGGGAAGATGAGCCAAAACCAAGTGAGGAGACGCAAAATGAGAAAGTGGATGAGACTTCTGTACCATTATGTTCGACTTCGACCACCACGCGCTCATCTAGGAGGCAACGCATTTTCTCTGAGGTCCCACCACCTGAGTCACTCATGTCACCTTCCAAACCTGAGCAGTTGTCAATGCTCACCTCCATTTCAAAAGGCTCTGAAGATTCTCCCATGGAAACGGAGGAATTTACAACAACGCCTGCATCAAAACACAAAGAGGACAAAGAATTGAAGGGTTTGAATAATGAGGCACCAGAAGAGTCACCTAAACCAGCAGACGAAAATAAAAAGGCCCTAACTTCACCTCATGCTACATCTGAAGAAGAAAAGATGGATAAAACAAGAGACCGTTCAAAGAAAGATAAAAGACGCTCCTCAACATCAAGTCAGTCGTCATCATCTGATGCGGATTCAGAATCATCTTCCTCTCATTCTTCAAGCTCTCCTTCACGTGATAAATCCAGCCCAACCAGCAAAACGAAGGTTTGTATTTGGTGTATCCACACATCAGGCCAGTGTTTTTTAAATTCTGTTTGCTACTTTTGGTGTTTTCTGATGATGAGCCAGCCATGCTAATACTGATGCACCAGTCTGACTGTGTCTCTCTGGGTGTAAGTGAGTTCAACACAACTTCTCACACTCGTGGTGTGATCTGAAGATGAACACAAAAAAGATTTGTTTGTAGGAAAGTTTAAAAGTGCATTGTGGAATAAATTAAATGTCTTGATGAAGTTGTCCTTTCTTTACTCAAACCAGGATGTAGAAGAGAAAGGACGAAAAGGTGCTGAAGAAAAGAAGGCTCAGTCTTCAAGGTTAGCAAATGTTCTATACACACACTATTCATTGTACAGGTACAAAAATGCAATGCTTCTAGTGTGTTGCAGTGTACAAATTCAGCTTATTCATTCATCAGCTTTAAACAAAGACATAATAACTAAAGAAAACATGAGTATTTTGTCACTTTTAATTTCATTTGTTTTGCACATCTACCTTTTATGGCAATCGTTTAAAGGGAAACCCCACCCCAAAATGAAAATTCATCATTTACTCACTCTTTACTTGCTCCAAATCAGTTTGTCGAACACAAACTATATTTTGAAGAAGGCTGGAAACTTGTAACAATTAACTTTCATAGTATTTGTTTTTGCTACTATTAAAGTCAATGGTTACAGGTTTCTGTCAGCTTCCTTCAAAATGTATTTTGTGTTCAGCAGAATGAAATAAACTCATTGAGGTTCGAAGGTGAGTAAATTTGAATTTTTTTTGGATGAACTATCCCTTTAATGTCTTTCTGATGCAATGTTAATCTTATTCCTAATAATTAAATATGTGTAATGCCTTATTAAAATTAACTACATTCTTGGAGAAACAGAAAAATTCATGGTTTATGAAGAATGTTTTTGGCATGCGTGACATAATAACTTTTTATGAAATGTTTTCTTTTCCATTCAGCTTAAATGGCTTGAATAGTCAAAGAAATGCATTAGATAAAATGTGTTAGATCTTTGCCTTTCAAGTTACATGATTTCCTAACTGTCTTTTACACCTTATTGATTTTCCTAACTATTGTCTCCCCTTTGCCATTTCTGAAAATGTGTCTAGATGTTGCACCATCCAGCATGTGTGAGCTATCAGAGATGCATGAGCTCAAACTCTGCTGTCTGTTGTCATGCATAGTTTAGATAGATTGCCCCATTGCTCCCATTCACTGCTTCTCACCAGGATGGAAATGCCTTGTGGTATTTTCTTTATTGTTAAAGATATGGAAATGAATACTCAATTGCTGGGCAATTTAATTAATGCAATAAGAAGAGCTGTGAGATTTTAAGAACCGTTAACTGCCTTATATGCACTGGTTGGTGAAAGTTATTGATTCTGGCAATTGTTTTGATACTTTTCAGTGTTTCCTTTAGGATTTTTTCCAGCTGTGGTGAGAGGCTTTTGCACAGATCTTCCAACTACCTATGGCGTTATTTCAATGACAAATACTTTTTGTTAATTCACAAAACTTTTTGCACGGCCTCAAATATATGCTGCTCAGGTGCAGATTTTCTTGTGCACTCTCATATAAAGGAATGAAGTGCATTTATGTAACGAGTATGTGTCCAACATTTATTAGATTTTCTAGGAATATTTATAAATGCCTCCAATAGACCTACTGAACGCCATTGATGTGTCCTGAAGTAAAGTGAACTGGCCATAAACTCCAGCAAGTTAAAGTCATTGTATGCAAAGCCATTATGGAAACTATGTTCATCATAACTCATAACTGAAAGCTACATAGTGTTTCCTGGCTTCACGCATCACACATCCCTGTCAGCATGTATCCTTAACGGGTTAAACAAATAACACACAGCACTTCTACAATTACAGAAAAGTTCTATATGAGATAATATACTTGAATTTTAATGTTTTGGTGTGATTATAACCCGCTATTAAAAAACCCCAGCAACAACTGAAGATTTTGAATGAGAAGCTGTATTGTAGCCATAGTAGGAATGCATTTTGGTGTGGCGCCCTGCCATGGAAGAATGAATGTAGCGGAAACCATGCTTTTAACACATACATTTGATACCAATATTATCCTAATTCATTACTTCTTATTATAGAAATGTTTTTGGATCACGGGTTATGTTCCAAGATTTATAAATTTATACTGATCAAAAAGTTTTTTTGTGTGTTTCTGCATGAATTCATCATCAAAGTTCTGTTACTAAATAAAGAGAATCTGATTATGCAAATATGGTGAAATATACAGTGACTATGTTTACATTAGAATTATTTGCCTTAATCTGAATAAGACAACAATATAATTAAGGTGTTTACATGAGTTGCTTTTTGAATGTTCCTGTCATGATCCTGTTTTACATGGTATAGAACATAATTCGATTAACGTAATTACTTAACCACGCTATCCACAGTTAATCTGGAGTTTAATATAATTTTGGGTGTTTAATTTTTAATTTGTCAACTTTAACTGCAGTTTGACACTTTCACTTTCATTCAGGAACATTATATGCATGCCCCCATGACAAACAAGATATTGGATCCGATTATGAACTGCTGAAAAAGTGTTGTTTTAGTGGAATTTGATACCGTACGCCATATGGGAAAAAACCCTCCGCATGCAGGTGTCTGGTTCCTAACTGTCTCGGTAGGTGCAGAAAATAGTGTCCAACAGCCGTGTGCATAGACTATCCTGTCGCAAAATGCGTATAATAGTTTGATTGTGGCATTTACATGTCTATACTGCACTTCAATAATGCCACTAAAATCGGCATACTCCGCGTCTTAATCCAATTTCTGTTGAGTTCAGTATGACCTTAATCGGATTCAATTAATCACATCTTTGTTTACACGGTAGACTCTTAATCAGAGTATTGTCTTAATCATATTAAAATCTGAATATTGGTGTGCATGTAAACATACTCAATGTGTTAAGCAAAATGTGAGAATGAAGCAAAGTATGCAGATCTTTTCTTTGCTTATAGTGTTTAAACTATAAACTAGTAGCAACAGAATAACTTCTAGTAATCAGTCCTGTACATCATCATTTTATTAAAGGTTATTTTATCAGTTGCTCCATAAAACTCAGCTTAACTTGTGATGTAATTTCTTGGATAAATTAAGAAATTAGGAAGCATCTTCTATAATCGCCCAATATGCTGAACCCTTCAGATAAAGTTTTGCATTATCTTCAAGTCAGCCTTATTAAAGTCAATGTCTTAGATCATTTTGCTCAATAGAAAGTGGAAAATGCAAAGATGTGTTAAATATGTGTTTTAATTGATTCTCTTTATCTAGTTGGATGGAGATGGTTTCTAATTGAATGTAATGCATGCAGAAATACAACTTTTAAAAAGGTAGTTTACCTGTAAATTTATATTCTGTCATATTTTAATCATTCACTTGTTGATCCAGCCCTGTATGATTTACTTTCTTTTGAATATAAAATAAGTTATGTTGAAAATATATTTTGTCTGCATGAATAGCGTCGAGACAAAGTACAGAGGTGTTCACGGCTATCCGAATTTGATTATTGGCTCAAGGTCCTTTGCAGATTCTACCCATATCTTTGCTCCCCACACTTTACTATCTACAAAATCTCTACTGTCCTATATAACGATGAAAACCCTCTAAAAAATAATTATATATATTAAAAAAAATTTTGTCCATAGTATGGACAAAATGGTTTGGTTGCCAACGATCTTATTTTGTGTTCTGCAGAAGAAAAGTTAATGTATGCTTGGAACAAATGGGCTATATACACAGTGTTTTTCATCCAATATTGAACCTCCGGTGAAAGCCTTCTGTGACTATTTTCAATTTCACAAGGTTTCTTTCACAGCATTGATGCTGTAATGTAATTGAAGTATAATCAGTTACATAGACACAAGCATCCATTTGGATGTTAAAGTGTAAAATAAGACGAAAGACCATTTAAACACAGGCGCCGTCATTAGCAGCCGGCTAGCGCAGAAATTCTATTGAAAATATTGGGCTGCATTAACTTACATGTTTTAAAGTCATGGCACGGAACAATATAATTCAATGCAGTGTTTCTTGTTTGGTCTGAGACCCACTTCATATTGTATATCTATCAGGCAGTGAAGATCCTAAACGCAGCCGTTTTGTATGGGATGAAAATTAACCGGAAGTCCTGAGGCTGGCTGACTGAAATCAAAAGTCTGTGTGCAAATACCTTATTGAGGTTGAGTAAATGACACCATTTTTTTCGGGAACTGCCCCTTTAAGGGTTCAAAACTTACTATTATATCTTAGTTGCGTTCATAAATAGTCAACCTTATAGTTATAGTTTTATATATAAAAAAAAGAAAAATGCAGTTTAAAACTACTTAAAGCAATAACTTATTTTTAACCGTTTTGAAAAAAAAATATAAGGGCGTATGTATTTTTAATCAGGCGTTCTAAATGACAGCCTATCAACCGGCGTGGCCTTGGAGGAGGGGTCCTGCATGTACTTCTCTCACTTCCCTCAGCGCTGCTCAATATGGCTACCCTGTGAGCGCCGCCGTGACTATACCGACGCATTGCACAAGAAAGAGAAAAAAATACAGCCTTGCATCGCGACCGCTTCTCACATTTCTTCCTACGCATCCGTCCACGGGAGAACCGGTGTAGAATCGGCCGTCGCGGTCCCGGTTACAGATTGACATTATGCTGTCGGACGGCAACAAAAACGGGTAAGGGCTGAGAGGAGAGGTGGTTTCTAGAAATACCCTCCAGCGCTGGGTTGGCACATCATTGAGGTGATCGGCGTTTATGATATTATCATTTCGATTCAAGCGATTGTTTCATGCGTCTATCGCTGCTAGTTCAATTCCAAAGCAATCATCGTTTAATTTGATCACAGTTGCTCTCTCGAAACCGAAGGGCTTGGCTGTGTCCTAAAACCCAATGTGCTTCCCACATAGACAACCTTTTGACGTCCTAGTATTCATATTTAATTAAAGGCTTCATGTGATGGACAAACATGAGCTTCACGTGTAAATCGCGGTAGGTTTTTGAAATGAAGGCGCTCGTCATGATGTTGGGGGAAGGGGATCTTCTTCAGGCTCTTGGGTTCCTTAAGGATGGGAGCAATTCTCTGGCATTTTTAATCACGAGAGAAGCATGTAGTGTTTAATTAATAATGGGAGATATCCGTGTCAACGACGGACCTCGTGAAAGGGATTGCAGCTTTTTATCCTATGAATAAAACAATGTTAACAGCTTGCGTTTCACCAAAAGCCCATTATGCAGTGTAGCAATTTGTGTAAGTAGTTAGGCCTAGTAAACGTGTTACTTAAGGCTGAAATTGATAGTGTGGTGGGAAAACATTTAGGGTATGATCTATAAAGCTGCATTTAAGTGATCTAACACTTCCGCATAGATCTGTGTATTAGGTTTCAACTTTTCTTCTTGAAGGAAAGCAAATCTTATGACTGGTGTTCATGTTGTTGCAATTATAAGTCCCCAGGGTGAAAGGGGATGTGCTGTAGTGAGTATTTTGAAGATGTTTTTAAAAGCTTAAGAGGTAAAACTTTATCTAAAAGGTAATTATATGAATATTGCCATGTTTCAAGAGTCAATCAAAACAGGTTATTGTTTTTTTTTTGTTTTTTTAAACTGTTACTAAGTGTCTTCTTCATGCAGGGAGAATGAGCTCTGAGGCTACTGTAGTTCCCTTTGAGGCGGTATTTCAGGTTTTCCTCTTTGTGCTTGCCAGCTTTGCATTCATGTGTAAATGTTAAGTATTCTAAGCGCTTGGCTTTTTTGTCTACGGGGGATCTGGCTGCCGTCCCCCTTCCCCTCAGCATGTGTTGACTGCTTTAATACAAAGGGAAAGCCTTGTGCTCCGAGAACCCAGAGGCAGTTTTTCCCTCCTTGGAGCAAATGGCATCAGGGCTGTTGTGTGTCTGGGGACAGCAGTGCCAAGGTGTGCTGCACAGGTGTGTGTTTGTGCATTAGAGAGAGAGATTGGTTTTCTGTAGAAAGGTGAAGGCTGTTTAATTCCCATTGAGGTAAAGCTGGTTTCATGTTTGCACATTCGTTCAGTGACAACTTGTGACATGCTCCCTATATTGTTTACCATGGTACTTTAAATATTCAAATTGAAATAGCGTTTTATCACTATTTAATTGATGAACAATGTTGTACTTAGATAGTCATTAGCTGCTAATATGATTTCACCATTTAGAATTGGCAAAAAATACTTAAGGAGAAAGTCTGAATGTGTGAATGGAAAACCAACTTTACCTCAAATGAATTCCCTGTTGGTGCAGGAATTATCAGTAGGCAGCGAGTCAGTTCCCCTGCTGGCACTTTGTTTGCTAAGGTTTAATTTAGTTAATTAATGGTGTTGCATATGATTTAGATGAGTCTGAACTGTCTTGTATACTTTTTAAGGGTTGTAATATTGTAACCTATGATCATTGGTCATAAATGTATTTGATTAGTTATTTTTTAAAAACAGCAGCTTAAAGCTGCTAAGTTTAAACAACTGATTATTATCATAATTTAACTGACACTGTAAAACCTCAGCAGGCATTACTGTAGATTTGTCACATGGTCATCAGAAATTATTCTAATTTGACAGTTTTTGTTGCTTAATATTTGCAGAAAATTAAAAACTTGTCAAATGTAAAGTTTCAAAACACTTAGACATTATTTATAAATAGCAATATAACAACAGTTGTTGATCATTGTGCTGTACACAAATTAGGGCTGGGCTAATAAATTATATCATATCCATGATAATTAATGTTGATAACAATAAGCTCTGGACATTTTTACTCTATTGACCCTAAGTGCAAATCACACCGCAGAAATATGCAACAACAGTAATCATTAATGTTAATATTAGAGATGCACCAAATTTTTGGCCGCTGAAAATTATCGGCCAAAAATAGGTCATGCTGCATCACCCAGTAGTGTTTAGTATGCTCGTTTCTCTTTCCCGCCAGCAGTATTCACCATCAGTCATGGTTGGGATGTCCTTTTAAAAGTGGAAGCATTAAAAACTTGTATTAAAATATATATTGTTATCGTTCACTTAAGAAAACAATTATCAAGATTGCATTTTTGCTGTATCACCCAGCTCTAACACAAATTGTATTAAAAAGTATGAAAAGAAGATCAAAGGAGGGCGTCGCAGTGGGTAGCACGATTGCCTCACTGCAAAAAGGTCACTGGTTCAAGCCTTAACTGGGTCAGTTGACAATTCTGTGTGGAGTTTGCATGTTCTCCCCGTGTTCACGTGGGTTTCCTGTGGGTGTTCCGGTTTCTCCCCCAAGTCCAAAGACATGGACTATAGGTATATTGGATAAGCTAAATTGTCCGTAGTGTATGTGTATGAATGAGTGTGTACTGATTTAAGCCAACTAAGAAGAGATTATTCTAATAGAGAGAAGTAGATCGTTTCACAATTTTGGACCCACAATGAAAAAAGCCCAGTCTCCCTTTTTCTTTAATTTTGATCTGTGAACTTTTAACAGTTTCCAACTTGATGACCTTAAACATCTAGCAGGTATGTTAAATCACAATTTTCTAAAGATAAGAAGGTGCCAGACCATTTAAAACCTTAAAAACAAAGAGTAAAATTTTAAACTTCATTCTTCTACATACCAGCAACCAGTGCAGAGAGAGTATGATAAGGGTAATGGGCTCAAATTAACAAGTCTAGCAGCATGCTGCTCTCAGATCCAACAACTGAAGTATTAACGAATGCCTAGAGTCAACAGATCATAAAATGTCATTGTTTAAAAACAGCATCTAAAACACCATGTAAAATGTATTGAAGTTTATACTCTGTCAGCTGTTTCCTCTACTATTAATTCAGAGAACCGCTGTCTTATAATTTCTACCTTTTAAAGTATGTATATTGGCATTGGTTTATGACAATGTGAAGTTGTTGTTTTTGCTTTGACAGTGTTGCAGGATACCATCTTGTTTATGCATGTGTGTGATTCTGGCAGTGGATCATTTAGCCAGCCAGTTATTTATAGGTGGAGTGACCCAGATCAACCACCCTCAGCCACCTTACCCCTCACTCTCTTTCTGTGTCTTTCTTTCTCTTGTGTTTCTCTTGACTTTCTCTAGGGAGGTAAAGCAGGAAGCTCTCTCTGAGCCTACAGGCCAAGTTGCCATGGAACTGGAGGGCCTCTCTCATTCAGAGAGTGCTGTGCAACAGTCCGACCACCAGGGGGCAGATTCAAGCGACTCCCGCCCAGAGGAGGTAAGAAGGCCCACAGAATGAAGGAAGACCCAGTGGAAATGATAACCCTGAAAAGGGATACCGAGAATCTGTGAGGCAGCTCTAGTTTAAACTTCTGGAATCAAATTATTGTGTCTTCACATACAGTTGAGGATTGGATGTTCTTGTTGCCTTTATTCTCTTTTTTTCCTCTTACTCAAAAGCAAAAGTTACAGCATCATCTAGGGGTGCGCATAGCTAATAATGTGTAAAATTAGATGCTATCAGTAGCTTTGTTTCCATCCAAAGAAGCAATAAATTGATAAGCAAAACTGGAATATTGCATAAAAGACTTGCAAATAAAGCAACGCTTTCATCCGAGTGAAAGAGAAAACAAAATCGTCACTTCCTGATTAACTGGTGGCAAATATCTAAAGTAAAAACTAAATTTGTTAAGGTTGGAGAATCTGTGCAAGTCTTCTTTATTTAATAAATGACTTGCGCCTCTGACAAATGCAGACATGCGATGAACGTGTGGTGGCGTTTGAAGGCGTGAAATGCGAAGCACAGATGCACTTGATTCTGGAGGTCAATAATAAATAACACTAATACTGAGATGGTTAAGACGTTTTAGAATGACAAAAACAACTTATCAGATGCTCTACAATGTGCTCAGCCAGCTGGTTTGTCCATTCACACACATTTTTATCATCACATAATCTCTTATAACAAAATCACATGACTTTTTTTTTTATTGTGCATACTGGAATTTGTTTAGCAAAGTGTTTTCATCGTAATTTATACACATCTTTTTATATTGAATAAAAAGTTTATCCTACTCTGTTATGAGTATACGTTTTTTATTTGCATTTTCAAAACTTATGTGCTTCTTGGTTTCCATCAACCATTCTTTATGCACAAATCTAAAATGTGCATTAAATTAAGTGGATGGAATCACAGCTAGTGTGTGCAAAGGGAGAAAAATCTGTGCTAATTTTAATCGTGCAGTAACGCATTTAAATTTGAAATTTTTTTTGTATGAAACAGTCCTTTAGGAATGTAAAAATGTCAAGGTGGCTTAGAATGATCAACATTTAAACCAATCAGCTACCTAGTTCATTAATGAGGCCATTTGTTTTAAAGTTTATTTGTTTATTTTAACATCAGTATATTTAGCACTAGGGCTCTACAGTCCTCAATCTGATAACCCATCTTTGAGAAGTTGCATCTTAAATGTGCTTCTTAAAACAACCATCTGTTTTTGTATATTGCGACATTAGTGTGTAGTAAACCAGCACACAGTGTGTATTTGCATTGTAGTGAGTGAGCAGAATGATAGACCCCTGGCAACATGTAGTTAGAGATGTAGGCTTTAGTCTCTCTGTCCTCCTCTCTTCTATTTCTATCTCTCGTTCTCTTGTCTCTACCACTCTGTCTTTTTGCTCTTGTTCACTTTCTCTTTTTATCTCTGGATCTGGTAGCATGACTGTTTTGTGGTTTAAAATCCCATTGATTGCTTTGTTGTGAAAGGTGCCCTCCCCTCTTCCATTGCTCATACTGGTACCTGCATACTGCCACCACCTCTTCTCCTCTACCACCTCCATCACCTGCCCCGCTATGCCCAAGCGTCTCGGCTGTACCTGAGCTAGGCCCCCAGAGTCGCCACTGCACACTTAGCCTGAGGGAATCTGCCGGATCATTGGTCACTGCTTCGACACACAAAACTGATGTGGCCTCCTGATGGGACTGCTTAAGCCAAAGGAGCTGATGAAACGTGGGGAGGCGTCAGCCGTATTGTGTGGATGAACGAATGCTGCTGCTCAGCAAAGACATTTTCCACGTGTACGCTAGCCAAACAAGCGTCAGATGGACTTCTCCTGTCAGCATGATGACTACACAGCTGTTTAATCGTCTTGACGCCTTCTGCTATTTTTACCCACACTTCACTGCTCAAATGAACTGATATATGAACAGACTCATTACACAAACATCCGCTGTTTCTCACAGACCTGTGTACTCATCGAATGGTCTGAGGTGATGAACCAAGGCTTACGGACTAACATCTGGATTTACCACTTTTTCCTGTTGTTTTGGGGTCTCATCAGTTGTTAACAGATTTGCAGCTCTAAAGCACTGACACTTCCAATGCAAATGGATTTAAAGAAAGATTTCAAAGAACTTTGCACCAGCCTAATAACTTGCTCTCTGTAGCTGCTGTTACCCTTTCAGATTTCCAGATGAACTTATAAACCATGCATGTATGAGACCCTACGCAAAATTTTGAAAAAGGAACCCGTTTACCAGCAGATTGGACTTTGTTTATGCTGATGATAATAGAATATGGAAGATTATCAGAATGTTGGCTTGCCAAATGTCACGTGGTTCGTGTTGGTCCATGTCGACAGCCAATCTGGACCGCATTTTTTCTTCTTTTTGTCAAAGACTTGCATTGTTTCCTGAAAACTCGACATAACTTCAAAGACTTTCCAAGAGCAGTTGAATCACAATTTCAACCATGAGCAAAAACAGCCATTGAAACAAAAAGAGCAGTTCCTGTCAGCCAGTCAATCAGCACACTCAATTGTGATCGTATCTCACCCTCACTTCTCAGCCTCCTCTGATTGGACCTTTGTTGCCTAGATACAGTGCACACTGCTGTGCGGTTGGGTCATAGCCAAGCCAGAGAGGAATCAGGTGTCAATGGTACCAGGAAAACCCTTTTTCCCAAGATGTAATTGTTTTTAGATAACTTAAAATGGAAAGGTTTCTTTTTTTGCTATGTTAACAATGAGGCTAAAGGGTGTTAGTAGTCCTGTATTTTACAGAACATATGGGAAAGTAGGGAAATTTGGACAAGCATGTGTTAGTCAAAGTTATGTTAAGCATAAGTACTAAAGCATTAGCAGTCTAAGGGACTAAGGGACACAGAGACTTTATAGTAATGGTGGGATTCTCTAACCAACTGTGCATTATTGGTTTAACTGATAGCTGTGCATCTGTTCTTCCCTCTCTCCTTTCTCTCATTCCCCACCTTTTCCCAATGTCTCTCGTGTTCGTTTTGTCTGTCTTTTCCTCCACACATCCACTGGGATCTTGTTTCTCCTCCTCTTTGTTTTATTCCAGAGCTCTGCTGCAAAATCGTTTGCTGCCCGCAAGATCTCCCTGAGCAGTAAGTGCCTTTTATTCTGTTTCTACAGTTCATTTTTCTGTATGAAAATTGTCTCTGCATCACACATTTAAATCCACTGAACTAGAACATAAATTAGTGAGGTGATGTTGTACTTGCAGAGTACGGTTTTCAAAACAACAACAGCTCTGGGTGAAGTGATGAAAAATAACATTTTCGGACAAGAACCAAAATCAGTATATCTTTTTTTTTTTTTTCTTTTCATCTACTATGAATGCAGGCATTGCAACATTTTGAGCGTTTAATAGTAAAGGCAAACACTTGCAACTGTAGTCATACTGCAAAGCTACCAAACGGCACAAAATGAATTACTTTTTATTGGAAAATTATTTGTTGGAGGTGATGTTATGTGCCCATTTTCTTTAAGTGGATTTGATTCTGAAGGGCATAGGTCTCAAACTCAATTCTTGGAGGGCCGCAGCGCTGCAGAGTTTTGCTCCAACCCTGTCAAACACAGCTGTTCCAAATAATATCTATATGCAAATTTTAGGCCCAATTGAGCCAACATCCATCCAGTCTCTCTCAATAAAACCTTTTTTTTTGTCTTCATGATAATAACAGAGCAACATATCAAATTACATAATAGATTATACTCAATCAATTTGGAACAGAAACCAATGTAAATTTTAAATGACATTGTCTTCATAAAAACATACTAATAACTATGTTAATCTTGTCATTAAAAAAATGTGTTGAAAATGTACACAACTAGATTTGTTTTGTTTTGACACAATAAAATACATAAGAAATATTTATTTTTTTTAAAAAATGGCTACTGACCGGGCCATTAAAAATATTTATTAGTGTTTAGCCCTGTACAAGTCTAAAATTGAATTCATAATGGGCTTAAAGTCTTAAATTTGACTTGTTTAAACCTGCAGAGAAACACTGACAACGCTCTTGCTATTGTTTCCTCTTGTCTGTATGAGCGAAACAGTAGAGTATTTAAAGTTGTTTCCACATGATGACAATCTGAGATGGTTTCAAGACAAGTATGCATAATTTATACTTACTCGACATGGCAGCTCACCATTATCATTGTAAAATGTAGTAAAAATAAAACATACAATCATAGAATTATATGATGTGTGACAGTGAAAGTTCTGAATGTAAATGCATAGCTGCCCAGCCTATGCTGGTTGATGTAAACGCACTGAAAAACATAGCAGAATGATAATCTGATTCTGAATACGAGTACTGAAGCTGGCCTTTGCTAAAAATAAACAAAAGAAGCGCAAATTACTTTAATCTTTTGGAAAATCACTCTTTGAGATATTCAGCAAAGTGTTACCAGGAGTTTTATTATTAATATTGTTATTATTATTTATTTGCATCATATCTGATTAATGTATGCTTTTTAATGTTCTTTTTTTGTATATTTATAAAAATAGCTGTTTGTAGCTGACATGGAATTCAATTTTTAAAAATATGATGTATGCATCTTTCTGATTAATTAATGGTAGATCTACTTTCTTTAAGTGCAATTTTGGTGCAAGTCCAGATTTTTATGAATTCTAGGAAAGCTGGAACAGGCTGCATGCCTGGATTGCTTCACTTTGGTTAGTTGCTTGGTTATCAGATTACAAAAAGGGATGGGAAAAGGGCAGATTCCAAATTTTCCTCTTGAGGCCATTACATGTAGTACAAAGAACTAGCTGGTTACATTAAAACTGGCACCACAGTTTATAACTAACTTTTCTTTTCAGCTCTTCTGATCTGGCTGGCGGTGAAAACTTAAAGTAAATCGTTTGCTTGCTTACCTAATGCAGTGGTTCTTGAGTCCGGTCCTTTGAATTATTTCCAATGTGTCCTATTTGACACATGAAGGATCAGTTTATGGATCTCTGTTAACGAGTTGATCTGAGCTAGGTGTGTTAAGGAATGCATACAAACTTCTGATCATTTCGTTAAAACCAATTATTGAATGCTTAAATAAGCTAAAGTACATTAGGTTGAAGTACCATTCCAGTGAAAATGGGTTATGGAGATGTGCTTCACTATTCTCCTCCACAAGTCTTTTACAGCTGGATCTGTATCTAGACTGTGCAGTGTTTTGATTAACATTTTCTTGCCACTAGGTAAAACAGAGATTGCATCATCTGAGTCAGAGCCGGTGGGGGGAGCCAGCAGGAAGAGACGGTGGGGTTCCAGTACAGCAGTCACAGCCAAGAAACCATCAATCAGCATCACCACTGAGTCGCTGAAGGTAAATCTTCCAAAATTACTCCCAGATAGCAGACACATTATGAATTACTGCCTGTTTTGACTGCTTGAATAAATGTAATCTAGGTTAAGTGTGGTAGTAATCTGGAAGTCAGATGAACTCAAATTCATACCCAGCAGCCCTAAAAAATAGCCAGTAAAGTATCAGGACATAAAAAGGGTCAAACATATGTATGTCAGTCATTTAACCATTGTTCATGCAGTACATACATAATGTATTTGTACAGGCCATAGAGAACTAGCCTTTTAGCATCATCTCCAAACAGAAGAGGGAAATAAAATCTTATCTAGACAATAGAAACACAGCAATAAATGTTAATACAAAAGGCTTAATCACTGAAATTGTGTATGAATTTAAAAGGTTTGAAAGCTTCAATAGTGCTGCATCGTAGTATTTGTGTATAAATTATGCATTCTGTTTTTTCAGACATTAATTCCAGACATCAAGCCCCTGCAGGAGGCAGTAGTGGATTTGCACCCAGATGAGGGCCGTCTCTCTGTGGATGAGGACTCCTCTGGCCCTCGTGAACGAGAGGAACCGGAAGAGGATCAGGGCCTGAAAATCAGACGCACAGTGACACAGGTCAGACATGCAGGAGACTGCAGCATAGTACTGCACAGATTACAAACATATGTTTAAATGCATCTCTGTAAACTTTTGTCCAGATTGTTCCATCTGATGGACACGAGAATGGCCAGAAAGAAATGGACGAGAAGGATGAGGAGGAAGATGAAGATGATGAAGAAGAAGAGCAGAAACACTCGGGAGAAGAAAAGGAGAAACCTAGGAAACAGGAAAGCTCACCTGATGCTAGTGTGGAAACACCAGAATGTGATTCTCAAAAAGGTGACTATTCGTCCACATTTTCAGAAATCGCTTGCTAGATTTGCAGAAATCAACTTTCTTTTTTTTGTCAGTCACACCCAGTGATTCTTTAGTAAGGCGCTCCATCAGTCAGCAGAAGTCAGGTGTGTCCATCACTATCGATGACCCCATACGAACGGGCCGCCAGCTTTCTCCTCCTCGTGGAAAAACCTCCAACATCATACATGTCCTTCACCTGGTAGGTACTGGATCACTGCTCACTGTAATGTAGGGATGTCTTAGGGTGCTTTTACATCTAATTCACTTGACTGGGCCGAATCCAAGTTCGATTGTCCTCCCCTTGCCATCTTATCAGCTGGTTTGTGTTCACACCGTCGTCTTTCCTTCTGAACCCCGGTACGCTTGCGTCATCAAGCTGCTGTTTGTGTACAGCTGTTGCTAGGTGATGGCCACTCAAGCAAAGTGGCAAAATGGAAAAACGTACGCTCATCGCGGTCTTTCTGCTGTTACAGAATTTTTTGCTTTTTTTTTTTTTATTTTTTTAGCAAAACCAAAATATAGAGAGCCACCCCAAAAAATAATAAAAATGTTTAGAACATCACGCGATGTTTGCAGAAGTAGTTTTTGGTGGAGACTAGCAGACATTATAACTGTTTGCACTGGATCAGTCTTGCTTGTCGCCAGACATATGTACACGAATGAACGTTATTAAAACTAAAGCTTGTTGAACAGTTGCCGGCTTACTTCCATTGTTTGTTACGATTGCTTTCATATCAGAAGTGAACCAGCCCAGAGTTCGTATAAACCGTACCCCAGCCCACCTTTTTCAGACAGACTCAGGTATGGTTCACGGGTGCGCTTCTAAGCTCAGAAGACATCGTTCACACGACCTAAATGTACCGTATTCTGATATAAAAAAAACTGAAGTGCAGATTAAAAGTGCTAATGTGAAAGCACCCTTAGAATAATTTAAAACGGGGTTAAAAGCTAAATTTGGGGGATATTTTATGATCAACTGCCTGTTTACCTGCTATTAAGATAATTTTGCATCAAACTTTGCAATAAGTTTTCCTTCATGTCACTATGTATTTACTAGCATGAACTAATACTGACCAATCCTTGTACAGCACTCGATCATAGCTCAGCATTTAGAAATGCATTATTAATTATTATGAGCTAACAATGAACAACTTTATTAATTATGTAGATGTACTGTTCATGTTATTAAATAAAAATTAACTAATACAACTTTCCTGTGAAGTGTTACTGAATTTTCTTTTGATCTGATCACAAGTTTCCAATGCCAAATAAAGGTTTCTAAAATGTTTTCAGTTTTCCACCTTTGAACACTTGAATACTTCTCAAGTGTCCCTCATGCAGAGCATAATCAAATTAAGGAAAGGTCTCAAATCTAAACAAGTAATGGATTTGAATGCCTCTTAATACCAGCTATAAACAAGGCCTTGATATTTTTTTTATTTTTACTGCTCTTTTGACTCCTGATCTGAACTTTTTTGAAGGTGCGGCCTTTCACCTTAGGCCAGCTGAAGTTATTATTAAATCGGACTGGCACAATGGTGGAGGAGGGTTTCTGGATTGATAAGATCAAGTCTCACTGTTATGTCACAGTAAGAACATCATTACTCTCATTAACATTTTAAATGATGGGAAAAAAGGTGGTTTTAAATTGAGTTTGGAACTAAATTTGTGATCTTGTCTCTTAGTACTCCACTGTAGAGGAAGCAGTGGCCACTCGAGAAGCACTACATGGTGTGAAATGGCCAGCAAGCAATCCCAAAGTACTACGTGTGGACTTCAGTGACCAGGATGAGGTCTGGATCGTTTTCCTGAGCTGCTTTCTTTAGTAGTCTCCATTCTCATCTTATAATCTGACTTCTCATTATCTTGTATTCTGTTGTATCACCAGTTGGACTTTCACAAAGGTCTGATCTCTGGTGAACGTGCGGGTGTAGGTCATGACCCTAAAGCCTCAGGACCGTCCAGCCGGCCCCCCGCCGCTCATCCACCGATCCCTCCTCCAAACCATGAAAAAGAGAAGGAACGCGAGAGAGACAGAGATGGAGGTTCTTCAGCTGTCAGAGACCAGTGGGCTGAGAGAGAAAGGGCCATGGAGAGGAGAGAGAGGACCCGTTCTGAGCGGGAGTGGGATCGGGATAAAGTCAAGGATTTCGGGCGGGAGGAGCGAGACAGAACGAGAAGGTCTCGATCGAGGGAGCGAAGACGCAGAGAGAGAGGCAAGAGTAAAGAGAAGAGGACGGAAAAGAAAGGTGAGGAACAACCACTATGGTTTACTCTATTTACTTATTCTGTTCCCTCACTTAGATTTGATATGACATTATCTTTCCTTTTATTTTCTAGAAAAACCAGAAGAGCCTCCTGTTAAACTGCTCGATGACCTCTTCCACAAAACTAAAGCGGCTCCCTGTATATACTGGTTACCCCTCACAGATGAACAGGTCAGTTCCTATAGGTGCTAAATCACTCTGTACAACCATCACTTCTTATTTTTGCTATTTTTTTATGTGCTTTTGTATTCACTGCAAAGTGGTGTTGTCACAGTTAATTTCGGTACAAATCGCTCATAAAATTTTAAAGTACAAACACCAATACAGGGACACTGGAGCTATTTAAAGTTGTGAAGATCGGCTGGTCTGTCTATGAGCTGACATATGATCGATGTGCTGATGAATAGACTGATCTTCACGGCTTTAAAATGTTCCAGTGTCCATGTGTTTTGCACTCATAAACATTGGTGAACTGATGACCTTCAGAGCCAATCACTGTCATTTCTGTTGAGTGTGTGACCACAATGACAAATCAGCGTTGTTTAAGAATGCGCTCAATAGTGCTTGAATTTTAGAGGGAAGTGGTTTTTAAAATTTCAGTACCGATTGGTACCAAAAATTTGTATCTTGAACATTATTGCAAAGTTACTTTGTTCTTTGAATAAGGGTTAAAAGTAGTTGAATGGCATACTGTTACCCAATTCTAGGGATGCAACGATAATAGATTTGGTTTGCACAATTATTATGCGTTAATTGAGTTTAAAACACTGCTAGTTTAAAAAATCACATAAGAACTTGTATTTTAAAGTGTTATTTATTACGGCCCAGTAACCAAATAATACACAAAATAATATTAAAAAAACAAACAATAGTCTTTCTCTTTGGACTTGAAATTAAGTGAAAATGTTTTTTAGCATTTAAACAATTTTTCACTGAAAATAAATTACAGAACAATAAATAATAAGAATTTAAAAAAAGTATTTGTCTAATGTAAATCTAACATATTAGCTAATTATTTCCCTTTTAAGTAGAACAAATGTAGACAAAGGTTGCTGAACCTTTGCCTGAAAGACACTTTTGATCAATTATCTTATGAAATTGTTTGGTATTTTCATTTTATACATTTTTACTCTTTAGATTATAAATGTATATTCCATACAAAGTATGAAGCTAAGCGGTCAGTTCTTGTCACGTGACTTGGGGTGCGCTCGCAGCATTCTTTCAACTGAGTGCGCCTGGAAAGCGTGAGCTCATTATGCCGCCTGCACATAACTCCCAATATCCGCACAAGAAAAGAAATGGCGAACTTGTGCGTGCAAAAAACATGACATGTGAACGGCTCTTTGGAAGTGTTATAGAATTTAGTAACGCTCGCCAAATAGAACGAAAAAAAAACTTCATGACAGTAATGGTTTGAATGCGGTGTTTACTTCAATAACGCCTCTGTTATGCATACTCCACATCTTAATTCCATTTCTGTTTAGTTCAGTTATGACTTAAGTTGAATTAAGGTAATCAGAAATTGCTGTTTGGTGCTTGTGTAGGCCGTACAGTTCAAAATTCATGTTTAACTGAATAAACAGTTAGTAAACACAAGTACATCTTATTGAACATCATTTATTTTCATCACCAATTATCATAGTAGAACAGTTTCCCAAGTAGTTTGTGATGCATTTTGGAAACAGGCGATGAGCCCCAGGTCTAATGCACCACCTGGCTCGAGAAACCCGTTCTCAAAGACTTATTATTTGAGTAGCACACATATTCTGAATGCCTTGGGCAGAATTCAGATAAGCCATTTTAATCTAGATCAATTCCAAGATTACAGTGAGATTAATCTAGAGTTAAATAAATCTATGCCCCCCCCCTTGAGTTATGAGTTAACTGGGTGATTTAATCTTCGCTTCTTTTCTCCCTCCTCAGGCAACACAGAGAGATCAGGAGCGAGCCGACCGCATCAAGGAGCGAGAGAAGAGGAGGAAGGAAATCTTTGAGGAAGAAGACAAAAAACGAAAAGAAAGAGAGCAAGAGAGAGCAAAAGGCCGCGACCGAGTGGGAGGAAACACAGCAGAAACCAGAGCTGGAGTTCCCAGACGGTCAACCGAAGGGGAGAGAGACCGAGGGAAGGGCGGAGAGAGAGAAAGAGGAAGAGAGGCGGACAAGAGGAAAGATGCACAGAGAGGCCAACGTGACTCCAAAACCACCACAGCAGCGGGCAACAGACGCTCGCAGAGCCACAACAGCACCTCCAGAGACAGACGACACTGAGAGAGGATGGAAGATCAGAGTCGACAGGACCACCATTTCACACAGGATCACGATTCTTCACACAAACTACATTTACTCACTCTCATGTCATTCCAAACCTGTATTTATTTGAAGAACAACAGATTTGTTTTCATAAATGGTTTATACGCCAGATTGGACCCCCTTAACTGCGAAAAATGTTTGATTATGCTTCACAAAATGGTCAGAAATAAGGGATTCTTCACCTAAAAATAAAAATGGTCATCATTTACTCATCCTCCAAACCTGCTTGAGTTTCTTCTGTTGAACACAAAGGAAGAATGCTGACTTCCATAGTAATTTTAGGTCCAACTATAAATGTTAATGGCTGCCGGTTTCCAACATTCTTCAAAATACCTCCTTTTGTGTTCACCAGAAGTTTAGTGACAAGTTTGACCTGCTTGACAGAGTAAATTAAGTTTTAGTTTTTGGGGTAAACTGACTCTTTCAATGGACATGAGAGCGAGTAAATGGCCGTTTCTGTTCAAGTGAACAGTCCCCTTCATCATTTCATTCAGTTTTAATGGTAGTAATGCACACATTTAATCATCCAGATCTGATTTAAAGCAAATACAAACAAAATCTTCCCACATATCGGATGTGAAACAGACCTAAAGCTAATGAAGGGGCTGTTGAATGTTGTTTATTTCTAGTCTAATGAAGTTGAATATGGATACGTGTTGATCTAAAGCTCACAAACACCAAAGTCAAGAGACCGAGGATGTCGTATTTTCCTTCTCTCCACCCAGATCTGAATTTCTATTTATAGTTTAACTAGTCCCACTTTATATGAGTGGGTAGCTAATTCAGTGTGTAATTACGGGACTTGGAATAGTTTTTTATATAAATATATATAGCTTTCTTTTTATCACTTGTATCCAGATTTGATTAATATATATTTCCTGATGTTAAATTCCCCAACCCCGGATGTTTTGGCCGCTATTGTTCACGAACAGAAGCCAGTGTTGCTGTCGACGCTGATCTCGTTAAAGTTTTGTTTGTTTTCATTTTTTTTTCATAGGATCTCAGTTTGTTAACATGACTACTGCGAAGAACCTCACTGTAGATCCTCAGCTCAACTCCACCTCGTCTGTTCTCCACTTCCCCCTGGTCTTATGAAGTTGTTTACTGTTTATCTCTGTGAATCGAACAAGGAATAACTTTAACCTTTATAGAGAAAAATAGCAAGAGGCCTTTTAATATTATTTTAATGTTTTAGTTTTGAAGACCGATTGAGAGACAAGAAAAAAAAAAGATTGCTTTTGGATTATTTTCTTTATGAATGTGCAGAATGTACAAAGAATAATAAAAAAAACTGAAGGAAATTGAGCTGATGTTTGGCTTTCAATTGCTAAAGTTCTTTAATAAATGCAGAGAATAACTAGTGAATGTTTGAGGGTTGTGTATTTACAACTAAATTCAGCAGCTTTTCCATGCAGATTCAACTGCCCCACCAAAAAAAAGAAGAAAAAAAATAAATATATATATATATATATATATATATATATATATATATTAATTCTAATCGCTAGTTAACACACTAAATGTTTTTTAAATACATCCTATAATTTCTGAAATATCAGCCTGTACCAAATGGTTAATATGGCAGATTATGGTGAAAGTACCACAATGAATATAAATACTAAATTAGAAAATATGAAGTGTAAAACCAATTTTTGTAAAACGGAATCATCTTTATTTGTTCAAGTATGATATCAAATGTTTCAGATTCTCATTTAACATGTTTTGTTTTTCTTTTACAATAAAACCTAAATCATGTGTAGTGCAACAGGATTATGTTCATGTAAACCAACAATGCTGTGTGTAAACATCACTTTAAACAGTCATTCTTTAAATTACTTTAACAGTCAAAATATGCTCAACCGTTTGGTAGAGCAGGCAGTTAAAGGGTTAAATCGATCTTCAGATATTTATTTTACAACTCATTTTCCTTGTCCTAAAACAAATTAGCTAACAATTTACAACTAGTTGTGCTCTTTTGCATAAAAAGGTGTTAGGGACCCTATCCTAAATATTAAATGGCATCTATTGTTTTTTTATTTAAAGGCCAGGTTGTTAATCATTTAAATGAATATTTTGAAGGGGTGTTCTACTACAATATCATATTTTAAACTAGTTGATGTGTAATGTAGCTGTGTGAACATAAGCAACTGAATGTAATACGCTCAAAGTTCAATGCAACGGGAGACATTAGCTTTTACAAAATTAGCTTTGCAAAGCCTACACAGAACAAATTTTTGGGGCTACAAAAAATACATTTAATTAATGAGATCATAAGCGCGTCAGGTTATGAGTAAACACCAAATGCACACCCTGGCCAGAGGCACTGTAATGTTACAGCAGAGAAAGCTAAAACGCTGCTGCTTCTGTATCTGTATTTGGGCTTTCAAAGAACATGACACACAGAGAAATGCTTACAATCGTTCCAGAGAATTATAAAAAAGACATAGCACTAGCATTTGACTAAGGAGAACTTCCAGAATCTCTCCCAGTTCAGTGCTGGATTCGGCTAAAAACTCCTCCAACCGACGAAACTGGATTGTGAGCCACAACCTGTATTTTATCTGTTAAAATTGATTTATTACATGCAGTTTCTAGCGTTGACGGTATGTTGAAGCGAGGATGTAAACAAGGAGAAATGCTGTTTGGTATCCCAAACAATTTACATTTTAGCTACAAATTATTAGTTCTCCATCAAACCTCTGTAAACATCTGCGTTCTACATCTCAAATAACAAACCCACAAAAAATATGTGAACATTTCACATTACTTACACATGCTTTTAAGTTATAACCTGAATATGTGTGAAAGACACTTGTCAGGTGTTATTTTAGAGATCAGGCGTGAGGTTCAGCTGTGTGCTCTTTATTTTCTGTGATTCAGCGACTGTCTGCACAGTGCAAAAGCACGCGCTTGTAGGTCGTGATGTGGTGATGTGGAGCCGATTCACAGCACAGCTGACCAATCAGAGCCTCTTGAGGGTGGGCCTTTCAGAGGAACTAGGAAATATGACATTCATTTTCATGTTAGCTGAGTAGCTGTGTAATCAAAGATATAGGAAAAACAATGTAATTTTCTACAGATTAATCATGAACACATTGCTTTGCATCTTATAAACACAACCAAGCCTTAAAATTACACTTTGGACCACCCCTTAAAATGGGTCTAAAACACATTTATTGGTTACATTTTTTTATAGCACTGATTACATTTTGTTTTAAAGTTTTATTACAAACAAAAAAATTTATAGGGTTGACATAGTCTTTATTATATTACTATTACTAATATATTATTACTATTACAATAGTTTTTATTTTTCGTAATTTCTAAAAAATAATTAGTTAAAACTAAATTTCATAATACATTTAAAAGTCCTATAAAGTGCTTTAAAATATGTATTTTTATAAAAAAAAATTATATATATATATATATATATATATATATTGTCAAATGTTTTATTGAAGACAGATAAAAAAAAGAAAAAAAAGAATGAATAAAAATGAATTCTGTTTTCATATTTTGTCCACATATAACAGGCAAAGCAAATAAGAAAAAAGGAAAAACAACATGAAAATTATTTTTAAACGGAGTATGATGACAAAGCATGTTAAAACATTACAGAAATGATGCATTATTATGCATTATATTTTTTTAAGGTAACTGATAAAAGGATTGTAAATTTTGTCAAATTGCTCAGGTTTTCTTTTCAAATAGTATCTAATTCATTTCAAATGTGAGGCAATTTCTCCAAGCCACAGTTTACACGTAGGGGATTCTTTTTTTTTCCCAAAACAGTAGCAGTAGCTTCTTGACAGTAGTTAAGCAGTATGAGAGCATTTTATGTTGTGTATATTAAATAATATTTTTAAAAATAATATAACCAAATTTTCATATTAAAAACTAAAACAATCCCATTTATAACAGAATGGAGTACAATAGAGCACGTTTTTTTGTCTTGAATTGCTCGCCAATGTTTTCCAGATTTCTTAACATTTGAAAAAAAAAAAAAAAATCTGATTCATTTAAAACATTAAATTGAAGCATTTGATTTCAGTTTGCTTTTTGTAGCTCAGCAATAAAACAAACAAAAATTAGAAATTGGTGTTAAATTAGAAATAACAATCTCTTCTCATATGGGATGGTGGGCCAAATCAAAGTTTACCATGGGCCAACTTTGGCCTGTAGGCCCTAGTTTGGGCATCTCTGATCTAAAGCAGGGGTGTCCAATCACTGTCCTGGAGGGCCGGTGTCCTGGAGAGTTTAGCTCCAGCCCTAATCAAACACACCTGAACCATCTAATCAAGCACTTACTAGATATACTAGAAAAGTCCTGGCAGGAGTGTTGAAGCAAGTTGGAGCTAAAGTCAGCAGGACACCAGACCTCCATGACCGAGTTTGGACACCCCTGATCTGAAGTATTTATGGATGAAAGAAGAAAAAACCCACACACTTATACACAGAAAGAGATTTATTAATTCAAACAGATACAGGAATGTTTTTAATCTTTTGCAATCACTTTATTTAAAAAAAATCTCTTAATAGGTAAACATGTTTAAGTGCAAAATCTTAGCTAGTGAAATTAAATATAGAAAAACGTTAAGCAAAAAAATAATAATAATCCCTTGTTTTTTTTCCCTACAGCAAACAGTAGATACAGGAGTAAAACAGTGTTCTGTGATATTTCGACTCCCTCTAAACGAAACAAGCAGGCGACAATAATCTTAACCTCAAGAGAATCTTTTTTTGTTCAGCAGGATTCAGTTGCTGCATTTCCCAGCCACTAGAGGGCGATATAGTCAATAGCGGGTCTGGGATTTGCATTTGAAATGTACTTTGACCTCAAGTCTCAGAAAGGCATTACCCCCCTCTAGCTTTACATAAAGACGATCATTTACAGTGTGCATATGAGAATATGAAGTAGGTGATGTTGGTCAGTTCAGTGTGTGTTGTGAGGAGGAAGGTTGTGTGTGACGCAGACCCGGCTCATGTGGCACGAGTGACAGAGCAGATGAGCATCCAGAGGGAAACACTGAGATCCAGGCTCATCCGAGAGCTGCTTTCCACACTCCTGGAGCAGAAGAGAGCACGTGTTATCTCCAGAACAAGCAAATGGTGAACCAAACCGCTTTCTAGGACACTCACCTCACAATGATAACACTCAAAGTGATAGTCTTTGTTCATCGACACCACCCTGAGGATCTCCTCACTGCCCTGAAACACACACGCAGACACATGATCCTCAATTCACCGCTCATAAGCTTTATTTTTTGTAATTAATGAAAATAATTTAATGAGCAAGTGCATCATGAATGTTTTCATTCTTTTTCTGATTTTCTACGCTGAGCACATCCACCTTTTATATGATTAATAATGAGAATTTGTGGACAAGAAGCCCTGAATTAAATTCACTTTCCCTCCGCCAAGAGGTTAATATATGAACATTTATTTTACCCCAGTATTTTCAATGGAGTTTCTGTGCTAGCCTGCTGCTACTGATGACGCTAGCATATACACGGCCTTTCATCTCATTTTATGCTTGTACAACTAATTGAATGCTTAAGTTTATTTAAGTGATTGTATTTTAATTACATTTCAAGCTTTCATCAGAAGTTTATTGTTGGCTGAAAAGCATTAGCTGTGCATATAGCCATAGATATTTACATTAGATGTCGCATATGCTATTGTTGTCTATTGGATGGGTTGTGGCAATAAAGCTGCCATTTTACAGGGTAGCGCTCCTTTGACATGTATATGAGATCAAGACTGGACATCCTGAGCCAGAGATATACACCTATGCACATATATCTATGATCAGGAGTTTTCCCAGTGGTCAGTATGCAAATATTTGTTTTTAATTACAAAAATTATAATTTTACATCACTTTTCTATATCTATGGATCAGTGATCGCACAGGCATTGCAGACAAAACGCAAGTGTTTGTGTGCATGGAAATGTCCCTCCCTGTTAAATTTGATTTGATCCATGTCCTGAAACACCCCTCTCTCGCTTTCACTTCTCATTCTAACAGAGGGAGCGATTCGTTTGTGAATCAATCTCTGTTATGAACGACTTGTGTGAACCATCGAGATCCCTGCGACTCAATGTGCATAATATTCACCTCTCTGATCTGAATCTAGACTTTACATTTCTAGACTTTACAGACCTGAAACTTGCCTATAGCACTTATTCATTGTTGCTCTTATAGTTGTGTAAATTGCTTCCTTGTCCTCATTTGTAACTCGCTTTGGATAAAAGCGTCTGCTAAATGACTAAATGTAAATGAATGGTCTACAACATTTGTAATGTTCAATCCTTTATGAAGGACAGTATGCACATTTTGGCGCAGGGATTGTTATGTTTTCTGGCACCCTTATAAGTTACTTTAAAAGCTAGTCGTTACTTTATTTAGCCGACAATAATACAAGTTTCTAGCACCGCAGCATCTTGTCATATTTCATTTACATTTTTTGCTGATTTTATTCAACAAAACTAGCATAAGTCTAGATTTTGCAGCAAGTTGGTGCTACTTTAACTTATAGTCAGTGCCGTAAGTGATTATTATCATCAATAACATGACGTGTTGAGCACAAAAGTTAAAACAAAATCATAAAAACCTAAATCTTACCTATGAAATGTTCTGCCTTTATGCTTTTTCTTTGTTTGCTGGTTACTACACCCATATGCAACGCAAAAGTCCAGCATATTGGTTTTGACTAGTGTGATTGAATGACTTTTATCCTGGGAGCACTGTACAAATGTGGCAGCGGTATTGACGCATACTCAGGTTACGTATGCGATACCTAGTGTATATGTATGTATATATAATAATAATCTTTGTTAAAGTCCACATGAACCGGAAGTTGCTGAGACCTTTATTTCAGTATTGTTAATGTTTTAAATGTACTGTTCTCTAATATGGCAGTTTTTCAGCTACCGAAACGGTGAAGGGACAGTACACCAAACTTAAAAGCAAGTGGTAAGGAATTTTATGGAATTTTACCAAAATAACAATGTGCACTGGCAAAATAAACACAGACTTTAAAGGGTACATAGTTTACCCCTTTTTTAAGATTTAATATTGATATTTTGGTTCTTCTGAGTGTACCAGTTTAGGTTCAGTTCAAAACACAATTTAGATTTTTTTATTATAATGTGTTAAAAAGTGTTATGGCGTGTACACAGCTCGCTGTTTTAGGGGTGTGTTGCTTCACATGAAAATTAGTTTCAAATTCTGCTCCAAAAGGTCCACCATTTTTATGTTGTTAAATTGAAAAAAAAAAGGACTGGGTGTGGTTATATCACCCCAATATGACAGTCTATACACTATACTTACAAGCATGTCTGTCCAAACAGCTTGAAAAGTAGATTTTTCACCATAGGTGTCCTTTAAACTTTCAGTGAAAGTCTTTTCCTAGGTACAATTTTTTTTTCAATCCAATCTTTAAAGACAACTTATTAAAATTAATACAATTATTTTTAGCAGATCACAAATAACATTAATAACTCAAAACAAGTACTTCTGCAGCAATATGATGGACTTGAATTGAATATTAAAGCTGTGGTGAAAAATGCTTAAGAAATTGATTCTGAAAGTAATTTGTTAAACCTTCAAATCCTTCTAAAAACTTTGATTCTGAATCTCATTGATTCTGAGATTTCTGAAATGCATTGCTATTTTCTAACAAACGACTTCTGAGCTTCGTTTTTATGCTCTTTTTTTTAAAAAAAAGTTTTACGCTTTGTGTTTTCCAAACAATAAAATCTAAATCCTTTAATCTTCTTGCATTCAATTCCTTACACATACCACTTCAATCTAAAATAACCATTAACAAAGTTAGGAAAGGTTTATCCAAATTAGGAGATCATAAAAAAAATCAGCTTAATGCTCAAGTGCTCTTCTTTATAAACATTTAGATGTAAGGTTAACAACTAGTCTAGAGCGCCATTTACTGTTAAAAGGTGGTCCCAGCTACAATGTTCTTCCACAAAAATCATTTTATATGTATTAATTGCAAGAAACCCAATAGTTACTGTAGATTAATGCTACTAGGAAAATAAGTTACCTCAGCAGGTAATATGGGTTGTAAACAGGCAGCGCATTTGGGAGCAAATGTCCTGAGGAAGAGAAAGAGAAGACCCACATCAACAGCAGGTAAACATATATTTGGATGTTATCAATGATCTAACATAGATACAGCAATGTGATAACAAACAGGAGAAACTATAGGGATTAAAAGCTTACTTGCATGCATTTCAACCTTTGTTTAGATACAAAAGTACAATCATATATTTGATCAAAAACACAGATTTACGGACAAATAGCATTTCAAAATAAGGCTCTGAATGAAATAAGAGACCACTTAAAAGTTGTTACTAGTTATTTGCATATATTGGTTATTTGCTATATGCTATTATGTTATTATTTAAATTAAATTAGTAAAATGTTTATTTTTGTTTATATATATATATAAACAAAAATAAACATTTTACTAATTTAATTTAAATAATATATTATATATAATATATATATAATACATGTTTTCAGACCATATACATGGGATGTATGAAGCAGCCATCACTGCAGTCTTCAGTGTCATCAGATTGTTGTGAAAACAGTGAAACACGTTATTCAGGGGTCTGAAATATGTTTTTAAACATTTAAATGTCTTTACTGACACATTTGATTAATGTAATCCATGCTTTCTGAATGAAAATATCAATTCCTTTCAAAACAAATATAAATCTTACTCTAGCTTACTTCTGAATGGCATTGTCAAAAACTGAATGCATCTGACAAAAGCTACGAAATCGCATACTTCACCATGCTGTTAAAAACAACAACAGTATGTGACAAACGTTGGTGAAAAAAGTACCCGGGTAATGTACTCTCTTAGTCGAGAATCAGAAATATGCATACAATGGACACTTCACTATCCCTTAAGGCCTTGAGAGACATAACTGACACTGGTAGGTTTAGAGACAATGGATGATAAATTTTATGATAACTAATAGTACCTCCTCCATATTATATGTGCTTTCAGATGCAATCAAAGCATTTAGAAAAGCATTATGTTTGGCTCTGTGTACATGTAATCCATCTCTTCTTCAATATGTGCAAGTATGACCTGAGGAGTTTAACAATTTATCATGTTTCCTGTCAGTTTTTGCTCTGCACAAAAATATAAATATTTTATATGTTACTATATAAAGGTTGTGCCACTAAGCTTGTTTCACATGTATATATCTTAAAGGAACACTTCACTTTTTTGGCTCATTTTAAGTCACCTAGAATTTAAGTTTTACAATTTTTTTAATTGCATTCACTTTTAGCATAGCATAGATCATTGATTCAGATTAGACCATTAGCGTTTGGCTAAAAAAAAAAAAAATTTCAAATTAAAGCTTCACTCTATTGTAGTTACATTGTGTAATAAGACATACAGAAAAATGAAAAGTTGTTATTTTTTAGATCTATATAAATAGGAATTCATTTCAGCACATCAATAATCAAGTTTCATCAACTTTGATGCTGTACCATGGCTACATTGAGCTTAACAATAAGAGTCAATCTTTAAATAAGAAAAGTATCAAAAAAATTTAATTAGATGCTAACGGTCTAATCCAATTCAATTGTTTATGCTAAGCTAAGCTAATAGATTAAAAAAATATTCAAATCAACTGTTTAATATTTTGGCTTCTATGCGAACACTGCCACACATTTAATTCAAAAACAAAATTCAAATATTAATATTTTCAGCAATATTCAGGTCACAACTAAACATGAACAGCAACAAATCAAGCCGTTGTTAATGTTAAACTAACTAACAATTAGGACTGCACAAAATATAGTTTCAGCATCAATAACGCAATGTGATCATTCGCAATAGTTACATCGCGAGTCTGGATTATAATTTAGGATTATAACTAATGCTGTTTGAGGCCTGTGACTGTGTGAGGGATTTGAAAGTGTTCAGGCAAAATAAATTGTAGCGTTTGTAATAACTTTATTGCAGTTTATAATTAATTTTATTGAATTGTTTACATAAGGAAGACTATGGAATATTATTTTATAATTAATTATTAAATGACTGTATACCCGATTACAGTTGGACTCCTCGAAAAACAATAAAATACTGTTTATTTAATTTGCATATTTTTTTTCTTCATTGAATTTACCCATGCCTGTAGATTGTTTATTATATTATATGCTCTCCCTTAATCATGCCAATCAATCAAAAATGATCAATTCTTCCCAAATAGTTATTCAACTCATCTGGTTAAATTGTATTCATATCACAAAATAAAAATAAAAAAAAAAAGAAAAGTCAATGTTAGATTTTTCCAATTTCGTGCAGCCCTACTAACAATGGTTATTAACACAGTTTACTCCACAGACCTGTTGTAGTCAGAGACGCAGTAGACGTTGTTGAGGTAGTCCACTGTGAAGGGCACACCATCTAAAGCCTTCGAGCAGACTGTACAACGGAAACATCCGGGGTGATAAGAGTTCCCCAAAGCCTGCAAAATCTGACAAACACACATAAACACAGAACTGTGAAGACAAGAGCTTTATAGGCGTCAAACACTGACACTGTGCTTACACTGACCTGCTCCAGGATGAGGTGCCCACAAACACTGCACTTCTCTGCTGCCTCCTGGAAGCCTGAGAACTGGGATGAAAACATTACGAGAAATCACTGATTAAAATGAACATTTAGAAAATCAAATATTGTTTAGAACTACATGTGAAATTGTGTACAAATTGTTTTGATAACAATATTTAATGACAGCTATATGTAAATATTTAATATATGAAGAGTTCAGATGCAAAAACCTCTAAGTGTCATCTGAAATTTTACTCTAGAATTAGCATTTTTCTCAGGCTTTTGTGTGTAACTTTAGTCATTTTACTCTAAAGGCAATGAAAATAACCCATTGTTTGCCATAAAAGTGAAATAACTGAATATAAAAGAGGCTGAGAAAAATGCAACTTTTAGAGGAAAATTTCAGACGGCACTTAAAGGTTTTGCATCTGAACTAGGCATGGAACGATGACCGTTTTCAAGGTATGCCACGATTTGTCAAGGTTTTAAAACCGGCAAAATTGTCTGTTATATCGTTCCTACGGTATATGTAAGATTTTCTTGTAGTTGTTTTTAGGACAACAGTATCTCCAGCAGAAAATATTTCCAAAAATTCCATTTTAAATTGTAAAGAAATCTTTGTTTTCGAAACAAATGAAGACAGCCGAAGTCAATGATTCATTTGAATTATTTAGCCTGACATGTTTACTGCTATAAAATATTTTACATTTTTCTCAGAATAAATATATTGGCTGTCCAAAATTGCTTACTACTCAGTAGGAACTGCATTTGAATTTACAACTCGACTAATAGAATAGTATGTTCTATACAGTATGAATGAGAGTAGTATAAATGGAGCTCAGATGTACTACATCTGCCATTTTATCATGATTTTATCACATTCTTGAATTCTTTTGCGGGGCATCATAGGATAGCGTAACGTCCATCTAATGCACACTTCAGAATCTCGCTGGAAGTAGTAGTTGATCCGGGTATTTTTCGCATACTGTTTTCCAATTTCTATGAACCTGGACATACTACTCAGCTCGCATATTGTTTTTAGCATACTATATAGTATGGAAGTGTGCGATTTTGGATCCAGCCTTTGTGTTCAAATAGGAAAAAAGGTGTTTTTACCATCATTATGCTTGTTATCATACCGTCAGAATCTTTTACTAGCCAATGCCTAATATGAACTTTTTATATACGCAATAATTAAAATATGTAATACTTAATTTATTAATAATATTATTACATATATATTAAATTTAAAAAACTTGATTGTTAAAAAAATCCTCTCTTCCATTTTAAAAATGTTATAGTATATATTTAAAAAATAAACTGTATATAAAATATATTTCATAATAATGCACAAGCATATTTTTCTATCTTCGCTTTAACTTTTTGTTTGTTTTTTTAAGTACCAACAATTTTTCATTTCATAAATATTATATTATTTATAAACATTTCTCATTTCATACTTAAAACCTTATTACTGATTGTATTATTAGTATTCATTCATTTTCTTTTCGGCTTTGTCCCTTTATAATCAGGGGTTGCCACAGCGGAAAGAACCGCCAAGTCATCCAGCATATATTTTACGCAGTGGATGCCCTTCCAGCAAGGGGAAACACCCAAACACACTCTTGTATGCCCACCCACACATACACCAATTTAGCTTATTTAATTCAACTATAGCACATGTCTTTGGACTGTGGGAGAAACCAGATTAGCTAGAGGAAACCCACACGAACACAGGAAGAACATACTCCAAACAGAAATCCTGACTGACCCAGCCGGTGCTTAAACCAGCGACCTTCGTTCTGTAAGGCAACAGCGCTACCCACTGCGCCACCGTGTCATCCATATTATTATTATAATTATTATTATTAATAACACAAGCAATAATTATAATTTATAAATACAATATCTTTAAACCTTTAACACGGTCTAAAATGACCAGAAAGTCAAAATGCAGCACTTTTAAGCCTAAAGTCATTCTTACCATGTAATCCTCCTTACAGTAAACGGAGCCATTGACATTGTAAAAGTCCTTGTTCCGGAGCGTTCGCCCTACAAGCGAAAACAAGACAGCAGAGAGTTGTTAAAAACCCCACCAAGACACATAATGACCCAAATGAAGAGGTAGTGAAATACAAGGTTATGTGATCCAAGTCAGTGTTTCTCAACCACGTTCCTTGAGGACCACCAGCTCTGCATTATCAATGTCTCCTATAACCAAACACACCTGATTCAGATCATCAGCTCATTAGCAGAGACTGAAAGACCTGTAAGAGGTGTGACGGAGAAAGGAGACATCCACAACATGCAGTGTTGGTGGCCCACCAGAAACGTGGTTGAGAAACACTGATCCAAGTGTAACACTACTTAAACCACTCACCACAGGACACGCATGTGAAGCAGCGGGTGTGATACAGACTGTCCAGAGCCTGGCAAGCATTATCTGCTCCATACACGCCTTTACCGCACTTCACACATGTACCTGAAAAGCAAGAACACAGCAACAAACATAATCTGAGTACACTATAAACAAAAGCATCACCACACACACATAATTCAGGTGGCTACCCAAGACAATGAGGTCACCGTTCGATCGTAGCAATTACACAAAACACGGTGGCAGAGCTGTCTGGACTTAAAAATACGTGTCTGCGCCGCATGACTCGCACATTCTTCCCTTATAACACCATCATCAGTGGGTTTGTTTCTTGTAGCAACACTACACACACACTGATAAATCTGACCAGAGTCAGACAACCCTTTCATTACTCAAGAAAAAAAGGCTAATAGACTGTTAGATACAGGTATTAGATATTGTGTCGGAGTGAGGTAATGTCTTAAACTTTACACAGGTGCTTTTCGTGGAGGTTTCCTTGTCGCAACAAAGCGCTCCACACACAGAAGGCACAAACACACCCAACCCTCACAATTGAGTGTGTGAGAGAGCCTTCCCTGAGGACTCAAATACCTGAGCTAAACAAGCACACGCCAGCACACGCTAGTGCACGCTAACACACATGAACACACCCTCGCTCAAACTGTGGCTGGCCGAAAGCCGAGAGCACTTACACACACACACACAGAGAGAAGAGAGAGAACCCTTTTCTTAACCAAGCCTCTGTCCTACTGTATTACTCACAGCTCTTTGGTATGACCAGCATATCACAGAGCCTGTAATTTGGGGTCATGCATAATCACTATGCTCGCTCCAGGCAGATATTTTTGACATTGGAGTTTGTTCAGAATTCTATATAGCCTTGGGTGGAGGGCTTATTTATATATTTATATACACACATATTCACTCGGTGACTTGCGAGTTAGTTATTATGGTTAGTTAAAGAAAGAAGAAGGCTAGCTGAACCTGATGCTCTTTAGGTCCTCAGAGAACACTTGCGTGTTTTAGCAGGTCTGACCACATCACATACATTCATGCTCTACCGCCACACTAGTCATGAACAAACAAGCCAAATAGGATGGGTTTGTGATCTCACCGAAGTACTCCTGTCTGTCCACTCCAGCCGCTGGTTCCTCCGGGGGTTTGCCTGGAGCTGCGGTGGGGGCTGGAGTTGATGTGGAGCTGGGTAGGATGGTGGCAGACACAGGCTGTTCTTTTAAAGTCAAACCCCCAAGTAATGCCTCTCCTTCCAGGGCAGCATCCCTCAATAGCAGGCGGGTGAGCTCCTGCTGGTAGCGGGTTCCTAGTAAGTCAGAGTGTCGTGCCCTTTCGCCCACACCATCACCTCTTGACCCCCGCTGGTCAATAGGACCCCAGTCTGGTTCTGCACGGTGGAAGGTTACAGTATGTGTGCTCAGCGCAGGAGGATATGAGTGACGGCTGTCGCCAGACACACCCTCAAGACAGTCCCTCCAAACCTCAATAGGTGGCGCTCCTGTTTTCCCTGGTGCAGGGTGTGCTTGACCCAAAGTTGTGCCACTGAGTTGGGTCGACGAAAGTTGAAGCTGTTGAGCGGGCCCAGGTGTATGCCGGTTGTCGTAGCCCAAACTGATGCCACTTGTCCGATTACTGCTGCACCGACTTCCCATAGGGCTCCCACCACCGCCACCTCCTCCGCTAGCTGTGCTGCTGGCAAAGCTGGAGCGAGGGCTCGCCAGCACAGACTCCTGTAAGCTGAACGAAGAGCAGGGGCTCAGAGCTGGTGCAGATGGGAAGAAGAACCCCCCTACGCTACTATCGTGGGTCCTCTGTGGTGGATGGGACAGGGAAGCAGGGCGTCCACTATCCCAGGGTTCACCACCTGAGCTCAGACGCTTGTAGAAGAGAGCTTCCTGCAGGGACAAGCGTTTGTGCCGCTCCATCTCATGGAGGAAGCTGGGCTCCACCGCAGACAAGCGGGCTGCCGAGCTGTGCGTCGGGTATGGAGGGGGTACGGACGACAGAGGAGGAGGTTGGGCGAGAAGCTGCTGCCGCCGAACAAGCTGCTGGAGCTCCAGCGAATAACGACGCTGCTTTAGGGCTGCACGGGAATTCGGGCTGTACGCCCCCTGTGGGTCACCTTCACCTCCTCGTCTCATCTGGTCACAGGTACCACGGCCCTCCAACGTATCAGGTAGGTAGCATGATGCTCGCTGCTGGGGCGACCGGCGCCGCAGAGGGGCAAGAGTCGATGGATGATGCTCAATCCCCGGCCCACAATCCTCAGCTACAGGGACTGCTGTGTTATTGGGAGGTGCGATTCTCTGAGAAGAGCCCACCTTCCCAGGTCTTCCAGCTGACTGTCCACAGGCCTCAACAGAAGTGGAGAGGGGGAACTGAGAAGTGTTCGCGGGAGCGTTGATCTGTGGCACAATCCCATTATTGGCATTATTGGTGTTGCTGTTGTTATTCGTGTTGACCAAGTCATTTTTCTTTTTACTGAATTTGACACTGCCAGAGTCACTCAGTTTGAGCTTTTGCTTGAGTTTGATGCCAAGTCGATCCATTGTTTGCTTTTAATAATATAAGCTCAACTACGATATATATAAAATATAAAGTACCAATTGAATTTCTTATAGATGCCACCTGAAAATGACTACAGTTTAAATAGTGTACGACATAAATACGGTGAAATACAGTGTGGACACAAACCTCATTCAAGTGTTTCAACAGCAGGTGAAATAACAGACCAAACGATGTGTGACAACCAAAAACAAAGAATACAAATCCGCACAAACACATACAAAAACACTAACTGTTAAAAACTAATACTTTCTGAAGATCTACAAAAATAAATATGTAACTTTGAAGATAAATAAAAACACTATGGCATTTTCTGCAGGCTACATGTCGCGCTAGTTAGACTTGAAAACAAGAGGATTGACTCCAAGCTGTTTGCTTGTGGTGAACTTGCTGGACAGGAGAGTGAACGGGAGCATGTTCATCCATTTGTTTGCAGCTACTTGTGGCCTTGTCTTCAGCAGTGAGCAAACCAATGTGTGGAAACTACTGTAGGGCTTCAAAGAGTCCTTAACACTCGTCCCAGACTCGCGCAGAGCTGCTCCATTCAAACGACGAGTCCCCCCGTCTCATCCCCAGCACTGATCCACTGCCTCTGTTGTCGGAAACACTGGCAAGTTTTATAATTACCGCTTGGTTCGTTTTCTCTGTAGAGTTACCTAAAATGCGCTGTGGGTTGATTAAAAGGGAGCAGGGTTTAAATACTGAATAAACTCCAGCACGTCTTCCTTTGATTGGGCTGGAGTTAAACACACAGGTTATGGGATCCTCCACGGCCCCTTCCTGTCCAACTAGCGGCTTTCAAAAAGCCAAGTTGAAAACGTTTCTCATTTATCGCGGATAAACGAGTCGCCAGTGTCCGCGAGCTCACCAGCGATTATTCCCCAGCAAAAAGTTACACGGTAGATCAAAGCCTCCCGTTGTTCCACAGGATCTCCACTTTGCCCGGTGCAGTTCAGAAGAAAATGACCATTATTCCCCAAAAGTGGAAGTCCTCAAAAGCGCGTAACAATAAAGCAGAAGCTGCAGCGAGTCGAAGGGAGGAAGTTCGCGTTTCGCTCAGCCACACATATTCGCGTGGATAAACACGCACTGCGCACTCTACGCCGGAAAACTGCGCTAAAATGTTCAACGTACAGTTTCTTTCTTTCCAATTTTTTCCCTTCCTCCCCCTTTCTTCTTCCTCTGTGGCTTTTTTCCCCGACCGGAACACCTTTCCCTCGGGCAGCGCGCATGAATAGCATCCCACTATTTCGTCACACAGACCAACTTCTGAAACAGACTGTGCCATTGGTTCAGCCTACTGTTTGGACTTACACAAACAACCTTGACACAATCGCGCACATTTATCAGATTGGATAAAACATTTCGTGTTTGTCTAAAGGAGGCAGAAAGAGCTTCATTAATAAATACACTACCAGCTGAAACATGTTTGGAAACAGTGAGAATATATATATATATATATATTTATATATATATTTATTTATTTATTTATTTATTTATTTTTTTGTTGCTGTTTTTGACTTTGCTGTTTTTGTTTATTTGATTTAAGGTTGTACTGTTCACTGAGGCTGTATTTATTCAATAAAACATACAACACAAATAGTAAAAATAACTGATTTATATATATATATATATATATTTGTGTGTGTGTGTGTGTGTGTGTGTGTGTGTGTGTGTGTGTGTGTGTGTGTGTGTGTGTGTAATTTTTCCAAAAGTGACATTTTGTAAATTAATTTTTTTAATTTTGTCTTCAGTAATCATGTTAATAATGCTAATTATTACGTTATAAAAGCCTGTTAAAATTATTTCTCGTACGTGCACTGCAAAAAACACTTTTCTTAATAAGATTCTTTGTCTTGTTTCTAGTCCAAATATCTAAAAACTCTTAAATCAAGAACCATTTTCTAGTTAAGCAAAACATAATGTCTTGTATTGAGAAATAATATGCCAACATTAAGTGAGTTAAACTTAAAACAAGCAAAATAATCTGTCACTGGGGTAAGCAAAATAATCTTGTTTTCCTTTTGACATAAGATTATTTAGTTTACGCCATTGGCAGATTATTTTGCTTATTTTAATGAAAAACTCACCTAATTTGGGCATAAAATATTTGAAAACAAGACAATATGTTTTGTTTATCTAGAAAATTCTATTTGATTTAAGAATTTTTTAATGTTTAGACTAGAAACAAGACAAAAAAAAAATCTAAGTAAGAAAAGCATTTTTTAGCAGTGTGTAACACTGAAAATGCTAAAAATTAAGTGTTGAATCCCAGGAATGTATTGAATTAAAAACATTTACAGAAAAATAATATAATACAATGTTAGGCTACTATTATTTATTTTGTTTATGCATTTATTAGCCTATTATTGTCGTCAAATAATACAGCCTTTGTTAAGAGAAACATTAACCAATCTAAACATTTCCAAACATTTTAAACGTTTTTATAGTCATTCGTCTGTAAATAAAACAATAACCTCAAAAGAAACTAAAATGCAGTCATATATCAATTGTTTTTTGTTTATTATAAGTTTCATTGAACGTATTTGTACCGACACGTGGCACACAACTGGAATAAAAGACATTTATTCGACTTGGAACAACGTTTAAATAAACAAAGCCCTGAGAACATGTAAATGATTTGCAGACCTCACATATTTTCTCTGTCATTTTTCCAACCCTAAGGCCTAATTGGTCGCGCCGTGCCTTTCGTCTGTGGAATGCGCGGAGGGATCTCTTCAAGTTCTCTGGGACGGCGTGAGTCGGCCGCGTGTGTGCTTTTCGCGAGCGCAACAATGTAACTGTTTTTTCTTTTCTTCCCTCGCGGAAAATGCCTCTCGCTGCTCCATAGTTACCGAGCGGCATAAATTCCGGTGACAACTGACCTGCTGTCGTATGGTTACTGTATTCAACCCCACAGAGACCCTAAAAGAGCCAGTGCTGTTCTTTTGTTTAAAACATCGTTTTTCCCTACCCCGGAGCTCCCTCCTCCCCTTCTTGTCTTGTCTGCAGCTTCTCCTGCGGTTTGTGGGAGCGCGCACGGGCTCGCGCGCTCTGGCGAGTGGGGACTTGTCCGTCCGGGAGCGCACGCGGGAATGTTTCAGCGCTTACTCAGCACTGCTCGAGCCTGAACACTGAAGGAATGAAGGGGATCGGCGGTGCTGAAAGACTATTTATTATTAAAGCGGAAGGTGTAAAGGCCCTTCGTCAGAGGCGCCTCTGTGTCGTGTTTTTACAAGATGTTGTTTCTTTTCAAGACTTCCCCATGAATGAAAAAACACACCACTCCGTTTTATCTTGAATAAATGGAATGCACATTCTATTCTAAAGGCAGTTCAAAGTTCAGTTCTAAATATGACCAGGGACATGTTTGTTTACGTATGAACTGTTCTATGTCGCAACACGTTTGTTTATTTTTAGTTTGTCTTTTGTTTTGAGATCGAGTTGTGATTAGAAGGGATGAAAATAAACAAAGTGTAGTTTATTCAACAAGTGTGAATCAGACACGTTTGAATGTGAGCACAGCATCATCTGCTGGTTGAAACAAGTCACGCATTTTAGGACAGAGGAGAGTGTATTTTCTTTTTGCCTTTTGCTTGCCGTACTTACTGTAATCCAAAATGGCAGCAGCCTTGAGGACTGTCGGTGCTGCAGGTAAGGCATCGCGTTAGTCAAGATTTAGCTGGATTTTGTAATTTATTGATGACATGTTTTGTTGTAATATAGATTTTATTTGTTTGAGTTTGGGATGAAATCTAAACGCTAATTGTTTAAGTCAGCGTGCTAATTGATGTCGGCAATGTTACTTCTCTGACAATGTCACAACTGATGAGTGCTAATTATTTTTATTCCACATTTACAGTGTCGAGGCAGTCTGTACGCACATTTTCATCGACGTGTGTGACACATGCAGGAATAAAGTGGAGATTAGAGTGAGTTTCCTCGAAAGGATGCGAAGGAGAAATGGTTTAAAATTAAATAGACACAAACTTTTTCAATCCTTCTATTATTTTTTAAAATAAATAAATTATTTAAATGATTAATATGTGTCAAAATCTTGCTGGTATAAAAACAATCAAATCTAATTGTTTGCATACATTACTTTGTTAATGAGTAGTTAACATCACATAATATTCACGTCTGTTTTGACCAAGAAGAGATCCATAACAAAGTTTTTAGTAATGGAAGAAAAAATTAAGAAGGAAAATAAATGTAAAACATATTTGTGTAAAATTATATGAGGTTATTATATTATTATTATATTATTATAAGAGGTTATTATTATATTATTACTGTCAGATTATTGTTGAAAAAAACAACAGCATAAAATATCAATATAGGTTTATAAATTTATATCTGAAAATGTTTGTGCAATAAAATTTTTTTTTGAAAACTTTTCAGAGAGATATTTATATTGTGTTGGTGTTTTATTAAAATAAATGTGTAGATAGGTATACATTTGGACTGCTTTGAGCAGTCATGAATTAATTCAAATGATTTGAATGAAATTCCATCAATTTCAACAATTAAGTAGCTTATTCTATGTTTTTATAAACTGTACAATTATGTAATATATAATTTAGTTTTCAAAGCCATAGATTATGTGATGGCACCAATACTCTAGTGGTTAGCTCATTGACACATAGCACCTAGGTGCTTACAGCGACCCAAGTTCGATTCCTGGCTCGAGGTCCTTTGCTGATCCTTCCCCTATCACTAGGGCCAGACGGAATCTGCAAACGTTTTTTGTTATTTTTGCAGAGAATTTTGGATAAAATTTGCGGATTTCTGCAGAAATATTTTGGGAGTATCTCATCTACAACCTTAATATATAAAATAAAAATAATATATTTTTAACTTTTATTTAATGTTTTAAATGCATATCTAATTAGATTCACTTTGTTTGGTAAGTAATGCAAGTTTGTCATTTGTTATATCTAGTAAAAGACAAAAATAATACTGTACAAACTGCATTGTACATAAATCAGATAAACATTTTCATATTAGTCAATAATATTACTGAAATTAATTTAAAAACTGGATAAATATAGATTTACACACATTTACTCAAGTAAATAAACAGATGATGGGCTAAAAATCTGTGGAATTCTGCGTGCGAAGAGTTCCTGGTGGGCCTACCTGTCACTGATACACTGTAAAATTCTGACACATTCATTGACTTCAAAATTAAAGATGTTAATCATTTACAATATGAAAAGTTACAGCGGTTAACCAGTGGTTGATGTCAGTGTTTTGGTCTTTTCAAATGGCATACTCCATGATACCCTGATCCTGTTTTGTTTGTAGAAATGGTTTACCACGTGGTGGATCAGAGTACGGACCATTAACAGATCTACCTGACTGGTCATTTGCAGGTGAACATTGTTTTACAATTTGTTGATAGATAAAACATAGTGTTGAGCACAGATGTACTGATTTTCTGAGTTCTATTGCATGCATCAGTTGCAAGTGGGTTAGTCAAAACATCCCATCACAGTTCATGTATGAATGTAAATATGAGTGCTGATGAAGTCATTTCATTACGATACTTTTCATCTTGACTTTCAGATGGTAGGCCTGCACCACTGCTCAAAGGACAGATCCGCAGACAAAAGCAACGAGAGGAGTTTGCTGTAAGAGTTATAAAATGTTGTATTTGTTTCCTGTTGATATTTAGCTTGAGAGATATGTAGTATTTATAATTGTGTCCTGTTTAGAGAAGAGCCGTGTATCTCAATGCAGAGATGGATGAAGGGATGAAGCAGTGGCACGAGAGCGAAAAAGCAAAGAAACAGAAAGAAGAAGATGTCAAATCCTTACTGCTGAAACCTAAAGGGAATTTATTTAAACAAAAGAAGAAATAAAAATGCATGGATACTAAATAAACCTGTGTGATTTCTGTTTTTTAAAAGTAATGCAAATTGATAAAGTTACAGCCTGTAGTTTTGTATACAAATTTACATATTGTGCTTCATGTTCTCAATCGCATGTTCAAACTTTTGATAGAAATTGTGTTTGCAAACATACTTGGGTGTGTGCACTTAATTTAGTGGATTCTTTGATTAGTATAATGTTCAAAAGAACGGCTACATTTTTAAATATAAATATTTTAAAATGCTAAGCCTTCAGTTGTTAATAATGATTAGTGCTAAATATGGTTTAGTTATCATGTTTAATAGATATTTCCCAAAGTATTTATTTAAAAAAAACTAAACAATTTGAAAAATATAGTGTATTTTATGGGGAAGGGGCTTTTATTACAAAAACTAAATATTCAACTGTTGTACAACTTAAAATGGAACATATTTAATCGCTATAGCTTGCAACAGAAACAAACAAAACCTGAAAAAGCGGCGTTAAACCATCGTGAAATTATTTCACACAGTGAAATACTGTACTCCCCTACTCCAGTAGGCTGCAGTGTTTCTCCATCTTTTAGGTTGATCTTCTGGCAGCCATTTTTCTCTGTCCTTCTGGTCGGAAAAAAAGTTCTGCAGACTGAATAATCTTCTTCCGCTTTCTTCTTCCCAGTTTGTTTGTTATTATTTTTGCTATTAGTGGTCGTCTGTTTTTGTTATTGTTCTTGTTCAACAAAGACCTGTTGTGCTTTTATGAAATGAATTCCGAGGTACAGACGGTCATCATATGAGATGCTGCCTGAGAAAGTAATTAAGGGTGTTGCTATGGTGACTCTATTTTATATTAGCCGCAAACTGCTATTTCAATTATTTTTAACCAGACAACTTCTTGGAAACCAATCAGTATGCCAGTGAAATATATGGAAATGTTTTGTTAATCATCCTCTTTACAGTAGCCTATATCTAGTCCTCAGGTCTTCGGAATGGTTATGTCTGGAGCTCGCATGACTGTTTGTCACCGTTTGACTGGATATGTTTCTCTCTCTTTAACACACACACACACACGCAGGTCTCCTGCTGATTTCAGCAGCTTCTCTCCATAATTATGGCTTCAGCTGCTGAACTGCAGATTTTTTCCTCTGGTGTTTTACTGGACCCTGGATCTGATTCAACCATTTTGTCAGCACTATACCAGAGAGTTTTGTTTGAGCTGTAAGCTGACAAAAACAACAGAAACCCAAGATATCTCTGACACCGCCGAATACCCCCAAACCACAATAATGATTATGTGCTTTATAGAGTTGTTTTTTTTTTTTAACAAAATCCTCTTCTATTTCCTGGTCTGTGCAATTCATAAAATACTACTGCTCAAGGCATCAAGACGCAACTCAAGATGAGTTTTTATGTGCTCAGCTTTTTCATACTGTTTGATTTTAACCAGCATATTTTTTTTCTTTGTTCGTTTCCCCGCCTTTCTCTATCTCTCCCTCTCGGCCGCCCTCACATGTTGTTTTGATTTTCCACAGAATGAGATCCAGATGTTTTTTTTTTTTTTTGAAGTGCAGAAGGAGAGAGAGAACTGAAGAGAGGAAAAGTAGGGGAAGAAAGATGAGGTGAATGAGCACCCCTTTAACATATATACATACAGGAAAAGAAAAAAGAAAGTGGAGAGTTGAAGAGACAGATGAGAAACATTGCCTTATTGAGCAAGCTTGTGTGATGATTTCAATTTGTGTACTGGAGGAGTTTCTAACAGGATATGACAAAAGCTGAGGTTAGATTATGAGTCTGGCCTGGAGGTTTGGGTATATCAATAAAATTGTTGCTTTCCATGTGTATGTGAGAGATCAGGACATAATACATAATATAACTGATATTTACCTTGATTTTTCATTGTTTTCATTACTTTTTCATATGTTTTCTTTTACACATCCCATCTCTCACATTTCATTGCATGTTGAAACATGATTTGTCTTTATTAAATAAGTTAATAGAACATTTTATTAGAGGACACATAGTTAACTTAAAAAAATTAAGGCAATAATTAGTGAAATGTTTATTTATTGCTTTACTCTTTGTTCAGAGCTTAAGGAATTATGAATTGATGGAGAAAAGTTAGTTGGCCAAAGATCTCAACCCTATCAAGGAGAATGTTATGATCAATAGTATCAAATGCAGCACTGAGGTCCAATAACACCAAGAGAAAAATGCAACCATGAATGGACGATAGGAGCAGGTCATTTCAGTGCTGTGTCTGTGCTATAAAATGCCCTAAATCCAGATTGGAATTTCTCACAAATATTGTTTCTCTGTAGGAAGAAATATAGTTGAGTAGATATAACTTATTCAAGTTTCTTTAATAGAAAAAGCAGGTTTGAAAATGGGCTATAATTGACTAATTCTATACCAATAAACTATATTTTAGTGTGTCAAAAAACAACAACACTTCAATGCAATACGGTTCTCAAGGCCATCTGTTTTCCTGCCTCCTGCTCACTTCTCTGTCAGCACTGTGTGGTAAGAAGAATAGTAATGTAGGTTACACAAAACACATATACACAGTCTAAACTGCTAGCAACTGTCCAAGCCACGTCCTGTTCGCCAGCTCAGCGTGTATGTGGGCGTTTGTGTACTTTACTCCTGGCCACCCCATGAGAAAAGAGAGAAACTCACCAAACATGAGTGCCAGAGCCAGACTTCCGGTCCTTCCTCAGCTCTTTTGTCCATCCAATACTGACACTAACGTTTTCAGAGTTTCAAATAGGTTTCAAATGAAATATATACTGTATAGTGCTGAACAAGTTAAAGGTTAGGACATAGCTCACACTCCTATCATTTCGAAGCCATAATAAATTTGTATTACACTTTATTTTAAGGTGTCCTTCTTACAGCGTAAATATTCATTAGACTATAAGTAATAATAATTACTTGCACTTACAATATAGTTTGGCTTAGAGTGCAGCTTAGGTTTGGTCAGTTGCATGAAATTATAATTGTATTTACTTTAGTACATGGAACATGTGCATCTAGGACACCTTAAAATAAGTGTTACCAAAATTTGTTAAGAACAACTCTGAACTCTGAAAACTGGACTGACAATTTCAATTTACTAGAACTTTTATGTTAAGCTGCTTTGTCACAATCTATACATTGTAAAAGTGCTATACAATTAAAGATGAATTGAATTATATGATGACAAAATGGGAGAGGTTCGAGCAAGTGTGGAGGAAGAGAGGGTCAGCAAGGTGGTAGAACTCCGGCAGCAGGGAACATGGACTAGGTGGGAGAATACACTGCAATGTAGGATCACCTGGGCGAACGTCTTGCAGGCGGATTTCCAGCGAGTCCGTTTCCTGGTACAAGCTGTCTACGATGTACTGCCAAGCCCATCGAACTTCCATGTTTGGGGAAACAATGAGACACCTTCCTGCCTTCTTTGCTCTGAAAGAGGCTCTCTAGAACACCTTCGTAGCAGCTGCCCCATGGCTGATGGTCGCTATCATTGGCGCCATGACCAGGTGCTTAAGGCAATTGCTGCGAGCTTATTCTCAGTCATCATCACCGGCAAGAATCATCATGCTCCAAGGCAGGCAGTCCACTTCATCAAAGCTGAAGAAAAAGCCCGGGCCCTCCCACAATTAACAACAGGCCTCCTTCACTAAGCCTCTGACTGGCAGCTGAACGTGGACCTGGGAAAACAGCTGAGGTTCCCTCATCACATCTCAAAAACACGTCTCCGCCATGACATAATAGTTATCTTAGCATCTTTAAGACAGCTAATTATTCTGGAGCTTACAGTGCCTTGGGAAGAGGGTATTGAAGAAGCAAATGAGAGGAAGCGCGCTAAGTACCAGGAATTAGTAGAGGAGTGCAGGGAAAGAGGCTGGAGAACTTTCTATGAGCCCATAGAAATAGGATGTAGAGGCTTTGCAGGGCGTTCACTTTGCAAAGTCCTCAGTTGTTTGGGCATTACAGGGGTGGCTAAGAAAAGGGCCGTTCGATCCACAAGCAAAGCCGCAGAGAAGGCCACAAGGTGGCTGTGGATTAAGAGGGCAGATCTGTGGACTGCTGCTGGGACACAAGTCGGGACTTGATCAACCCCGGCTGGGTCACCTGGGAGAGAGTGTATGATGTTGACCCGAAACACCCAATAATCCCAGGATACATCACTGATGATGTGTCCCAAATGCATCCATGAGATGCTTCTTGCATAATAATAATTTTGGACTGAATGGTGGCTACAATTTCATCTTTTCTTTTAAAAATTCAGAGGTGAACTTAACCAGAAGCAGAAAAACACTTACGAAAAAGAAAAGTAATCATTAGTAATTTGACAAGTCCCTTCATGTAATTTTAATGAAGCTGAGCAGGCATTTTTTTCATCTGGCTAAACATACACTCACTACTGTAGGCGTACCTATTAAAAATAATAATCCACAAAGCAACACGCAGAGGCAAAGAGGGATTCAAATGGGGTGAGCGAGATTGGAAAGGGAGGGGGCAGGAAAAACAGCTCAGAGATGTTTGTGGTGAGTTATTCATTTAAAAGCCTCATAAAAGAGAACAATTTTGCTGTGTGGAGAAGTGGGGAGGGGGTAGAGGACGGGGGCGATGCGGAAATGGTACAGTGAGGTTTTTTTCTGTCAGCTGGAACAGTTTTAAGACACTTCGAAGAAAGAGCTCTCCTCCTACACTGTAAGTACAGTCATATGTCTCTCTGTTCTCCCACATGTAAAGACTCATATAGATATACATATTACTATTTAATCATAACCATATTACCAGATTGTATGTGCATCAGTGGTGAGAATTATTAAGAGACATTGTCTTCAAAAGGATAGTTCAGGCAAAACTGAATATTCTGTCATCATGTACACTACTCTTGTTGACAAGAATAACTTGACTTCTGTTTGATCATTTGGTATCAGATGTGACTAATATGAAAGGCAAAGACCTCTAGATTATGCTTATTTTACCACAATAAAACATGATCATGTTTTGATATTAAATTATTTAATTAGGACAGTAAGGTCTGACTTTGCTGAGACAAAAGTCGTCACTTAAGAGAAATAATGTACAGTTTACAATATAAAGTCATGGTGCAGTTTATCAAGATTCTTTGAATTCATCTTCATAGCCTCCTTCTTCATCTTATCCCCAGACATGCTCAATAATGTTCATGTCTGGTGACTGGGCTGGCCAATCCTGGAGCACCTTGACCTTCTTTGCTTTAAGGATCTTTGATGTAGAGGCTGAAGTATGTGAAGGAGCGCTATCCTGCTGAAGAATTGACCCTCTCCTGTGGTTTGTAATGTAATGGGCAGCACAAATGTCTTGTTAGCTTAGGCTGTTGATGTTTCCGTCCACTCTGCAGATCTCTCACACGACCCCATATAATGTAACCCCAAACAATGATTTTTTCTTTATCTAACTTTACTGATTTCTGTGTGAATCTTGGGTTTATGTGGGTTACAATAGGTCTTCTGTAGTATTTGTGATTATTGTGATGCAGTTCAACAGATGATTCATCAGATAAATCTACCTTCTGCCACTTTTCCAAACGATCAACTAGTCAATTTATTATTTGTTGATCTAACAACTGGGATCGACGACAAGACTTTTTTAGGTAGTGTACTCTACCTTCACTTGTCAAAAAATTTGTTTAGAGTTTTTTGTTATTGTTGAACAAAAAAAAGGTTATTTTGAAAATGTTGGGAAAAAAACTGTAACCATTGACTTCCCTTGTATTTGTTTTTCTACTATGGAAGTCAATGGTTACCTGTTTCTAAAAAAAATCTTTTTTTTATTCAATAGAACAAGGAAAATCATAAAGGTTTGAAAAAAGTATTCAAGAATAAAAATGGCATTATTGCGTTCCTTGTTTTCCTTTTTTAAAAGTATTGACATTAGGTGACAAGTAAACAGTGATTATTTACTCATAAAAATTGAGTAAACTCATTGTAACTTGAAACTGATTTTTTAATATAAATATGCTCATGCTTAATTTGTTTATGTGTTATTTGTATATGTGTTAATTTGGCAATGTCTTTACTCCTTGCTATTTATGCTGACGATTATTACAGCCCCATTGACACCAATGCCAATGTATTGTTGAAATTAACCAATGGATGCGCAAAAACTTTCTTCAGTTAAATAAAGAGAAACTGAAGTCATTGTGTTTGGGAACAAAGATCAGGTTCTCAAGGTGAATGCGTACCTTGGCTCTAAGGGTCAAACAACAGAAAATAATGTCAAGAATCTTGGTGAGATTCTGATGTCAGATATAAGTCTTTAATAGTCATGTCAAAGCAGTAACTAAATCAGCATACTATCATCTCAAAAACATTGCAAGAATGAGATGCTTTGTTTCCGGTGAAGACTTAGAGAAACTTGTTCATGCTTTTATCAGCAGCAGGGTGGATTACTTTACCGGCCACCTCACTGGCCTCCCCAAAAAGACAATCAGACAGTTGGAGCTCATCTAGAACGCTCTGGCCAGGAGTCTGGCCAGAACCAGAAAATCAGAGCACATCACACCTGTCCTCAGGTCTTCACGCTAACTCCCAGTTACAATTAGAATAGATTTTAAAGTATTATTACTTGTCTATAGATCACTAAATGGCCAAGGACCTCAATACATTACAGATTTGCTGACTGACTACAAACCTAACAGATCACTTAGATCTTTAGGATCAAGCAAATTAGAAATTTCAAGCATACAGTCAAAGCAGGGTGAATCGGCCTTCAGCTTTTACGCCCTCTCGCTGCTGGAATCAGCTTCCCACAATGATCAGATGATCAATGATCGCTCCAATTTTGGGCACATTTAAATCCAGACTGAAAACACATCTGTTTAGCTGTGCCTTTTCTGAAAGAGCACTGTGCTACATCCGACAGATCGCTATTGTGTCTTTCTTTTCTTTTTTCATTCTTTTATAACCTGTTTAAACATATTTCATCTGTTTTTAATCATTCTATTCTTTATTTTTATTTTTTTATGATTGTCTCTTTTATTTCTGTTTATGTAAAGCACTTTAAATTACCATAGGAAATGTGCTATATAAATAAACTTGCCTTGCTTTGCCTTTTACTGTTGGTAAAAATGAAAAAGTCAGTCATTTCTCAAAAATCACAAACGTTTTAACGTCCAGGAAAGAGAGAAGAATGTTTTAAAAAAGGAACTTTATTTCATTTCAATTTCCAAGTACAAAAAAAGTGTGAAACAGGCAAAAATGTCATTCCTTTACATTTACATTATATCATTATCATTATAAATATCATTACCATTATCATTGTTAAAACCACTCGAGTAATATCCAGTACCGGTTTCTACAGAAAACCCAAAGCACCATTACCATTCATAAATAATTCTTGATTCCTTTAAGGTGGAAAGTAAGAAAATGTTACGCCCCTTAAACCTGATAGGAAAACAATGAAAGCTAATTTGAAAGATGTCACGTTCTGCCTGTGTCCAGCAGGTCTTGAAATGACAATTTAAATCTAAGGCTAAGAATGGAGAACAACAATAACAATAACCATAGTTATAATAACGATGCCAATTATTATTGACATAATTAAAGTAAAATGTACCAAACACGACGATAGTCAATAATATTTTGAGTTGAAACAGATGAACAGCTCTGCTCTATAGGTGCATTTATCACTGGCCTACTCCAGAAGCTGCTCAGCTTCCCGCTCCCTGAACTTTGACCTTTAACCTTTGACCTTTCACGGACAGCAGGTCTCTACAGTCGAGCCATACCTTGTGCAAATATCTTAGGTGAATAAAAGGTGAAGGAAGGCCTATTGTGTTAGTCCTTCCAGCCCATTAATTAAATGGCAAAGGCACTTTATGGAGTACAAGAGGGTTCATTTGGGTGAGCAATGTAAAAAAAGAGCTTTTGAGTTTGTGTAAAATTAGTGTAAAGAACATGTTAATCAAACAGCCACCCGGCTGGAGTCAAGTTGAGTTTATCAGAGAGGATAAAGTAGGGATTATATACTGCAAAGAAGATGAAAAGTCTGGAAGCAACCGGAAGATGCTAAGACTTTTATTTCAGTGAGTTGATGTACTTCCAACTGAAACAGAATATTGAGTGGGGGGGCGGGGTTTTCTCTTGCGCATAGTTCCCTTACAGCAAACTAACATAAAGAGGGGTGTGGTTAAGAATATTGCTATGCAGTTGCTATGGAAAACCATCGAGCTGATGTCAACAGAGAAGGACCGCCTTTAAAGATTACCAAAACTTTTTTCAGTGGATTAAAATGCACAGATGAATTCTTCACCTTCAGAATAACAATGTGAGCTAGAGAAATAAACATCGTACATTTTGATCTTACGTGGACTTTAAGGAAAAAGGTGCACGTGAGAGATGAACAGGGGCTGTCTGTCTCTCTTATCTCCCACTCCATTTCAGATTTGTTTTTTCTATTAATGGTAGAGAAGTAAATGTAAATAATAAAACAAACAATACACATCCTTCACTTTTCCATCTCTTCCTGCATGCAGACCTGTAAAGCTTGGTGTTCACTCTTCCCATTCCAGATCCTTCCTCCTTGTTTCATTCTTTCTCTTCTCATCCTGTGCCTGTCGTGTTCCTCTTTAAACCTTATCGAGCAGAGAGCGGTGACAGTAGAGTAGGCGCCGAGGGGTCCCGTAGCGCCGGAAGAACAGAAGAGCCCCCAGAGTGATGAGTACGCAGGCCAGAAGAAAGAGTGGGATGACGATAGCTGCAGCTCCGCCCATGGCTCCGCCCTCCGAGCCGTCCACTTCAATGATGAGCACCTCCTCATCTGTGCCGGCTCTCCTCTTGGGCTCCTCTGCTTCGCAGCCCATCCAGTTAGTGAGGACCGATTTGGGAAAACCGGGCTCCACTTTCAGCTGCTGATTGTTAAACTTCCAGTACTTATTGGCTTTGTAGAAATAGGCGTTGGCTGTAAAATTGTGGAAAAGTTAAATTCAGTTTAAGTGGCTGAAAATGTATAAATCTCAACGTGAAATGGGGTATTCCTGGATAATATCATGCATCATATAGCTTTATTGCATTTCTTAGCTCTTCATGTCACTAGTTAACATACTCTATGCATTTTTTTTTATAATACATCCTATAATTTCTAAAATATTAGCCTCTACCAAATGGTTGATTTTTCAGTTTATGTTAAAAGTACCAGAATTAATACATATACTATGCAAAATCTTAAAATATAAAGTGTAAGAATAATTTATTAAAAAAAAAATATTCAAAATGAAACATTTTTGAACACTAAGTTTCACTAACACTATTTGATTAAAGTATGCCATAAAATATTTCAGACTCTCATTTAAAATGCTATTTTATTTTGTTTTTTACAATAAAAGCAAATTCAACTGTAGTAGTGCAACAGGATTATGTTTGTTTGATTTTCTTGTAAACCAACAATGCTGTGTGTGTAAAGCATTATTCAAAACAGTCATTATTTAAATGACTTTAACACTCGTCATTTAAAACAGTCAAAATATGGTCAACCATTTTGTAGAGCAGGTAGTTAAAGGGATATATTAAAGGGGCATTGAGAAGTATTCAGCAAGGAACCATTAAAGAGATCAGAAGTGACTTTTGCAACAGAAAATGAATAAACAGAATTCAGATTTATGTAAACGAATGAGCATTATATTCTTTCAAACTTTCATTAAAGAATTCTGAAAATGTCATGACGTTTAGATGTATAATATGTAGCACAAATGTTGACGATAATAAAAAATGTTTTTTTGAGCACTAAACCAATAGATTAGTTTAAATTTAATTACATTATAACATAAAGGGACTAAGCTGAAGTAAAATGAATGAATACACATTATAACATATCTTGAAATAGAAAATGGTTACATTCAAATTGGCATAAATATATGAAGAAAATTAATGAAGCCTATATATACAGTTGAAGGCATATTGTGATATTGCTTTGGTCTATTATTTTGGTCTATTAATTTGTCAAAACTGTATGTTCTTATTTATTTATTTAATTACTTATTTATTTTTATTGCTTTATTATCTGCGTCTTTGTCCTGTCACTGTCGTTCTGTTGCAGAGTAGAAGCTTCGTTTGTGTGAACATACCTGGGAATAAAACCACCTTTATTTAAGCCACCAAACCTTTTTGATTCTGATATATGTTCAATATTATTAGGGTGTCATCATATATATATAAATAAATTATAATTATATATAAAATATAATATATATAATATATAATAAAACATATATATTTTTTGATTGACTACAGAAAAAAACAATTCTCCCATGACTTCCCTGATTAACCTAACCTGTTAACATAATTAATCTAGTTAAGACTAAAACATTACATACTGTTTATCATGGCAAAGATAAAATTTATTGTAAATTAATTTTAAAAATTAATTATTACAAATTAGTGTTTTAAAACAATTATGTTGAAAAAAATTATCTCATTAATGTGCAATGTATATGTATATTTATATATAGCTGAATTAAAAAAAAAAAAAGAAATCAACAAAGGAATGTATAAATTTGCCTTTGGGCAATAAATGACCGACATGAAAAAAAAATTCTCCTGTACCTCCATCCTCACTCATGAAGGCTCCTTTGACATTATCTGGTACTCCTTGCCATACACCGATATCTTTGGGGTAATCCGAATCCACAGATCTGCTTTCCTCATTGAAACGGTAATATCTAAAAAAGGTAGAAGTTATAAATGACTTTAGCAGACATTAAAAGAAAAGGAGAAGTTCACAGATGAGGAAAAGGAAACATTTTGTTCCTAAAATGACACAAAATCACATCGATCTCCCACCAGACCCTTAAGTAAGACACTGGAAACTAACTTAGTTCCTCGGAAGAAGTAAGTGTTGCCAGTGGGTGTGTAGAAAATGGCGGCGTCCAGCTTGTCTCTTGGTAGTCCTGTGCCAAGCTCCTTAAATGTTTTCGGATAACCTTCCTCCATTTTAGCCTCGTTGAAAACCCAGTACTTATCACCTATTGAGAAGTCAAACAAGCATTATTGCGCTGTCTGCCTATTAGAAGCACAGCAAAAATCTATACAAATAATTGACGCACCTTTAAAGAAAACAAACTTCCCATCATTGCGTTCATAAGCTGCGTTGATGGACGGAGGCAGTCCTTTCCAGAAATGTCCAATGGGCATGGGATACCCCTGCTGAGGTTTACCATTACGCACTCGCCAGAACCACTTTTCCTGTGGAGAAGAAATTATTTCAAGTCTCTATTTCATGATCTGATGAGATTATTGAATTCTGATTGCCTGAAAGGTTTGTTTAATACACAGGTAGCTCCCGTCAGTTTTAAATAAGCTTGAAATAAACGTGCGACCCTCAAACATTAGTAGTAACCATTGCAGCTCAGTGACAGCTGCCGGAGCCTTCATTCATCTGCAAAATGTTGAGGACACTGACATGTGCTTTATGTCAATTCACAAATATACTTAATAACCAAAGGGTGGCAAGGTGGCTCAGTGATTACCACTGTCGCCTCACACTAAGATGGTTGCTGGTTCAAGTCCCAACTTGGCCAGTTAGCATTTCTGTGTGAAGTTTGCATGTTCTCCCCTTGTTCACGCAGGTTTCCTCTGGGTGCTCCGGTTTCCCCCACAAGTCCAAAGACATGCGCTATAGGTGAATTGGGTAAACAAAATTGGCTGTAGTGTATGAGTGTGAATGTGAGAGTGTATGGGTGTTTCCGGAAGGGCATTATCTCCATAAAACATATGCTGGGATAGTTGACGGTTCATTCCACTGTGGCGACCCCTGATAAATAAGAAACTAAGCTGAAGGAAAATTAATGAATGAATAACTTGTATACACAAAACGCTTTAGCTTGCATTGATTTGTACCTTGAAGACGAACATCTCTCCCCTGAGGAACGCAATGGTGTCAAAGTGTCCCTCACATATGTCGGGACCAAATGAAGGCCGGTCTGGTGTGCGAGTAGGGGGCCGGGGGGCCGGTGGTTGTGGCTTGTCCTCAGAGCCTGCACCTGCCGAAAGACACACAGGTAAGCATTTCATATCTGAAGATTATTTTTCTTCTCTCTTTATTTTGGTTTGATAATGCATAAGAAGTGTTGGGCAATAATGTGTTACGAGTAATGCTAATACTTTTAACACTAACTAAAACTGATACGCATTTTTTTTTGTTTTGACAGTAACTATAACTGTAATGCATTACTTTTGTTTTTACAGTAACTAAAACTGTAACGCATCACTTTTGTTTTGACAGTAACTAAAACTGTAACGCATTACTTTTTTAAAATAGTAACTCCATTATCGTTACAGAATGATGCGTTCGTTCGTTACTTGGTAAGTTACATTAATTTTGGCTGCAGTCTTCCTTTTGTTGGAGACACATTGTGGGATTGGTGGATGCCAGCCAACCAACCACCGTAAAGCAGACACGTCTTGTATGAGGCGCCAGACTGGACAAAAGTCAAGTGAAAGCAGAGACCGAATGCACGCCTGGTACTTCAAGTGTGTGCATGAGAGAGGCCGAATGTTTTTGAGGTAGACCGAGTGTGTGCGCAAGAGAGACCAAGAGACTATTAACGTTACTATTATGTTTGTTGTTTCAAATAAAATAAAGAAAACACATTTGTTATCTGTAAAACAAAATTGATTACTTTAGTAGACACAGTGACAGCACTAAAATGACATTATAAGGGCATTTATGGGAGCATTAAAAATGTTCTTTGGAAAAATAACTCAAAAATGACTTTATTAACAGTAATGCATTACTTTTTGGTGTAAGTAATCGATAAAGTAATCAAGTTACTTCTTTGAATGAAGTAACTGGTAACTGTAACTAGTAACTATTTTGGTCTCACTTAATTTTGATGGTCCGTTTGTTGGGTTACATTGCAACTAATTTTAATTATTATAGAACTTCCCATTAGAAGAAGACTGTTAGGTTGGGGTTAGGGTTAGTGTAGGTTGACATGTACTTGCAAAGTTTCTTAAAGTCAGTTAAATGTCTGTAGAAGGATCAGTATCAGCTGATATTAAGCAGACAGTCTACTAATACTCAAATGGGAAATTAAATAAAGTGTTACCACTATTTTTCAGAGTTTAGCACAACACTGTGCATAAGGAACAATTTTAAATTGTTTAATAAATTGTTTAATTTTTGCATTCAACATACAAAGGATGTTTCAACATTGTTGTTGTTTTTTTGTGATTTTATTTAGATGTGACTTGTGACTTTAGATGTCTTTTCATAAAAACTCTAGGTTATATGCATTAATAGCATATTAAACAATTAGATTCTGGAGTTGATAATGAGTATAATTATTTTATGCTTGCTTGAGCTTACTTATATTTTATTGTATAAGCTTATAGTTAGTTTATTTTGAAGTAATTCACACATGTTTATTAAGTCTCATTTACTATATATATATATATATATATATATATATATATATATATATATATATATTCATATAATTTAAATAGTAATTTACAATAACATTAGATGACAACTATCAATTACTGTCAGTTAAAATACTTTCAAAAATTTCATGTATTACTAAAATGATCTGTCATAATTAGTTTAATAATTATAAATTTTTTAAAAATCTGAACTAAGAAAAGAACGTAATTCTCATGGTAACATAATATTAAGTAACTGGACATTTAGTTTGTTTTGGGTTCTTAAACTTATTTAAATATTAATGTCGTAAATCTTGGATCAAAATCAATTTTAATTTTAAAGTAGATTTAAAAATTGTTTATAAGTGCCTATACACACACACACACACACACACACACACACACATATATATATATATATATATATATATATATATATATATATATATATATATATATATATATATATATAGTTAGAATTATTAACTATTAGTTGAATTAACTATTAACTGGAATATTAGCCCCACTGTTTATATTTTCTCCAATTTCTGTTTAACGGAGAGAAGATTTTCATAACACATTTCTAAATATATTAGTTTTAATAACTCATTTCTTATAACTGATTTGTTTTATTTTTACCATGATGACTGTAAATAATATTTGACTAGATATTTTTCAAGACACTCCTATACAGCTTAAAGTGACATTTAAAGGCTTAACTGGTTTAATTAGGTTAGACAAGTTATTGTATAATGATGGTTTGTTCTGTAGACTATCAAAAACCTTATAGCTTAAAGGGGCTAATAATTTTGACCTTAAAATGTTTTAAAAAAATAAAAATAAAATCTTCTTTTATTCAAGCCCAAATAAAACAAATAGGACTTTGTCCAGAGGAAAAAATATTATCAGACATACTGTGAAAATCTCCTTGCTCTGTTAAACATAATTTGGTAAATATTTAAAAAAGAAAAAAAAATCAAAGGAGGGCTTATAATTTTGACTTCAATTGTATATATTCAGCAGATATGACCCTTTTTAGCATCAATAGTCACAATCATAATCATCACAGATCGCTGGTAAACTCACAGATCACATAGGACTACAATTCTGCCAGCGGTTCCCTTGCTGGTTTTGACCCTCACTTTCGCTTTGCTTCACTTGTTTGTTTGTTTGTTTGTTTTATTGTTTATCCCTGTTTGCTGCATGCCTTCTGACCCCTCGCCTGTGACCCCTCGACTATGAATCTGCATTTGCTTGTATCTGTTTGTTGACCGTTGCTTGCCTGACCATTCTCTGCATAACAAACCCTCCGTTTGGATCCCTTGTCAGCATCGATTTTACATTATATTCAAGAGTTCACACTTAGCTGATGATTTACAAAAGCTTGTTTGGCATGCTGTCCCGGGAGAGAGCCCTGAGCTCAAGGGCTCCTCGAGCCCGGGGCTTCCTCCCGTTGGCAGAGCAAGAGGGGAGCCTGAGCTCAGTGGATATCAGAACTCCCCTGCCGCTGTAGCTAAGGGAACGCAAGGGATTAGACAAGCTTGATTGTTATGCATGTTGAATGTCTTTGGATGGTGGGAGGAAACCGGAGAACCCGGGGAAAACCCACGCGGACACGGGGAGGACATACAAACTCCTCACAGAAACACCCACCGGTCCTGTGGAACCAGGGATTGCAGTGTTCTTGCTGTGTGGCTCACAGTGCTAACCACTGTGCCGCCGTGCCGCCCAATCACAGGTAAAGGAGGAGAATAGGGGAGGAGGGGGGTTTCTTCCAAACGAAGATAAAGTGAACTGAAAACTGTGGCTATTTATAGTAGCTTAGGGCTCATATGATTGGAAGATAGTGATTAGCAAATGCAAGACTGGCCGTGATAAATCATAAGCACGTGATCCTCTCGAAATTAGTTTATGAATAAACTTCACGAAATGTGGCACCCATAATAATCACATCACAAGATATGCAATCTTGTGTCTCTATTATAGCTAACCATGAGCCACATAATTGTACTTAATTACTGTATTTACATGCAATATACACGGTTTATTAACAAAAAACTGTACTTGAAATTAATTACTTATATTTTTAAATGAAGAAAAATGCATGCTTTTTTGCAATGCAAACAGGCTACCATATATTTGCTGGATTCCCCGTCTGTCATCTTCGGGCAGTACAAAGTTCTCAGTGTCCATCCACTGGTAAAACGGAGCCATGATGGCAGAGGGATCGCCTGAGTGCTCCAAACCAAGTGCATGACCCAATTCATGCACCGCCACCAGGAACACATCATTACCTGAAAGAGACCCACACACGTTCTCAATACAAAAAATAGGAAAGAATTTACATTTAAAACCCTAGACACAATTCTAGATCATCTTCCTCACCTCCCTTGTCAACGTTGCCTGTTGTCCAAGGCTCTGCTTCATCAAAATGTGTGTCTCCTCCGATGCCGTGACCAGGGAAGTACGCATGGGCCAGGAAACCTCCCTCGCCATCAAATGGGGTGCTGTCTCCATGAAAGCCTTCCGCAAAGAAAAGCATGATGTCTGCAAACTTCTCCACCTTGCCATTGATCTGACTGTATGGGATTTCACGAAACTTGAGTGGCGTCACGGCCTCCCAAACTCTGAATGCCTTCTTGATGGCCTCATGTGTGGCCCGCTCGCCCACTTTTGGAGTGTAGTTCTGGATACTGAGAAATGAAAACATCTAGAGTTAGTTTTTACCAGGTCTGAGTGGGCATTTCAGGAACAAAGTGTGGAAACTGGTATTTTTAATATGATGTAATGTGTATCTTCTTTTGAGTTCTGAAAAAATAACTAGTCTACATATAAGTTTTCTAAAACAGACGAACTAGACTATCTATTAATGCTCTGGAAAAAGAAGAACTAGACTATCTATTAATGCTCTAGAAAAAGAAGAACTAGACTATCTATTAATACTCTGGAAAAAGTAGAACTAGACTATCTATTAATACTCTGGAAAAAGTAGAACTAGACTATCTATTAATACTCTGGAAAAAGAAGAACTAGACTATCTATTAATACTCTGAAAAAAGAAGAACTAGATTATTTTTTAATGTTTCCTACTAAAAGTTAAAGTAGACTATCTATTAATGTTTTAAGAAAGAAGAACCGGACTATCTATTGATAAAAGAAGTTCATAATCATTTACATGCTCTGAGGAGTTTTTTTTCCAATTGTGACATGTATGTCCACGTAAAAAAGCTTCTCGTAAATGTAGGAGATGTAGAAAATGATTGGATTATTGTGGTTTGCTATTGCTGTGATGTCATGTCAGTGACAGCTAGTCCTGCTCTCACGCTACGTCAGAGACAAGATTTTGTGAAAACAAAATAGTGCAAAAAATTTGTACTTAACCAGACTTAACAAGTGGTTATGGGTGTGTTTAAATTCACATCTCTCTATCTGCACACATTAATTATTCAAACGAAGCACAGTTACAAACCATGACTTATTCTTGTTGCCAGATCATGGTGTAAAAAATGCAAACAAGGATAAGTCAGTTGAAAGAAAACAAAGAAAAATCGAAATACTTTATATAGAAAATATTACCAATATATTGCTTAGTGCATCTGACTACTCTAAAAATTGTAGTAGAGTCAATAGATTTATCAATGACGCCTAGAAAAAGACCACAGATGCTGAAAATATGTGGACATGGCAACACTGCAGGCACCTCAACTCATCTAAGGCCCTATCATACACCCGGTGCAATGCAGCGCAAGGCGCAACGTAATTGTTGTTTGCTAGTTTCAGTTAGGCGCAAGAGTCGTTTTGACGTTTTACAGCACGCTGTTTGAATAGCAAATGCATTTGCACTCATATGTGCAGCCATAGGCGTTCTGGTCTAAAAAACGAGGCATGTTGAGGCGCATTGCTGGCGTGTTGCTGTTTAGAGGAACTTAAATAGACAGTCCAATAGATCAGATCAAAGCTGGCCTATTGTCTAGCGCAGAGCGCGTTAGTTGTGCGCCTCTCTTGCATATTGCTTAATACACACAGGATGTAGAGCAATACGCAAATATCTTAACATATGAGAAAGAATTAAAGGATTAAAATATTACAAAAATTATTATTTTCTAGCTTACATAAATATAAAAACCACCGCGTCCATGCCTTCTTTATCTTGGTTTTTTTTTTTGGTTTATTTATAACAATTTGCTTTTGTATAATGTTATCATTATTAGCAGTATTATTTATTATATGCATATTTATATTTGTTTTATTAAAAACAAGCTTAGATTTGTCCACCTGTCAGGTTTTACACCATATGGAGCACAGCCTGTGTATTTGGATATAACTCAGTTTTTTGACCACACTTTGTTAGAACTGAATTTAGAAATAGTTTTGAAACGAATCTTTGCACTTAACAAACATAATTATGTATAGGCTGATGGATATCTGTGCAACCAATACGTTTCCCTATCCACGAGAGTGAAAGCGAAAGTAAACAATGAGGAGGCTCATCTCTCATTCTCACGCTGTAGATGCTCTGTTTAACGGTTTTCTCTCTAGTGAAGTGTTCAATTTTTTCACTTATAAAGTCCGCCATGTAAATAGCAAATGCGTTATGGCGCGGCACAGCTGGCTCTTAAAGGGAATGGGAGATGAGACTCTGATTGGTTTATTCTCAAAACACACCTTTAACTCATTAGTTTAGTGCTACCAAAACTGGCGAGATGCCTGACATTTATTTACCAAACAACCAGGTTCATTGTGTTCTGTTGGCTAAACGCACTTAATAAATTTGTTATGCTAATATAACAACTTGTTTTACTTGCTTAACCCTTGTGTGCTGTTGGGGATGTTTTCATCCACTTTAGGGTGATTTTGAGTCTTTTTCTGTGTTTCAGCAAATGGAATTATTTTTGGTGTCGAATCTTATCTTGAAAAAATGCTTTGACAATTTTAAAAAACTCTATGTTTTAGGCAATTTTACTGCCCTTTTGTTATGTGGCTATTGTTGCCCCATTGACTTACATTATAGTGACCTATATTTATTGCAAAGCCATGACACCATATCATTTTGTTTTCTTGATTGTTGGTAAGGTTGGCAATTTTTACTATTGTTTTGTACTTGCAGGGCAAAAAAAGCTTAGTTTCCGGCTTAATATATATCCTGGATACTTAGTTTGTGATAAAGTCTTTCTGTCACATGCTGCAGATGAGGCGAAGCACAAACAAAAAGATAAAAAAGCAGGGAAAAACTCAGGTACAAAACAGGCTTAATACAAACACAAAGTAAAAAACTAAGTATTAAATACTTTGTATTAAAATAAGCATTTAATGCAAAGTATTAAATAAGCAAAAGAAACTGAGATAAAGCTAAGGTAAGCACACACATGACTGAACATTCAATTTCAAAGACTCCATCACGAACTAAGTTTGCAGGTTATATTTATAGTCCAAACAATCCTAGAAAGTGGGTTACAGCTGTTTGTTTTTGATCAGTGGAAGTGGAAGCCAGTGTGTGCATAGTGGAATTTATGGATTTGCAGTTCGTTACCAGTCAGTAGATCGCTGGAGATTATGACAGTGTGTGTTAGAGAAACCTTTGCCCACCTACCTTGATATGTCTGAGAAAATCAAAACAAGCAGCTCAGCCCTCAGTCAGAACACAGTAAACATTGCATTTAAGCACACAATATAAATTGCTGGTATACTCCATAGAACTCCATATAAAAGCCAGACACTTTTTTTGCACAGGCCTATCTAAAGGGTTAATTGTGCCATCTGATGATCAACAGCAAAGATTACACATTTTATCTCTTCCCAACATGGAAACAATCAAGAATACATAATTATATGACATCAATACTTTGCAATCGAAAAATGCAATAGTATCTGGATGCAGCCTTTATGATGCAAGCTGAGAATGCGTCATTCAGCGATGCAGTGTCAGACACAATGCGCTCAAATGGAGCGAGTGACGTCAGTGTGAGGGGTAGGGTTAGGGGTGCGGTTAGGTGAGCCCATTAAAAGCATTGGATGCAGCTCAGATTGCACTGCACCAGGTCTGCATCCAGATCCCTCAAGGAAAGTCAACGGGGCAAAAATAGCCACCAACATAATGAAAGGGTAGTCAATTTGAACAATACACAAGGGTTAATACAAATGTTAGTATTTTTAGACAAACTTTTAAATCCTTCCTTATTTTTAGCTTACTTCTTAAGATGGTAAAGCGACATTTGAAGTAATGAATGTCAGAAAAGTGCATGAAATAATTCCAAATGAAGTGGAATATGTTAGAATGCAAGAACGTGTCCCCTAAAAAGCACGAGTGGCTCATGTCTGTAATGCCTACCAGTTTCCAACATTCTTCAAAATATTTTATTTTGTGGTCGGCATTTGAAACCCATTGTGGATAAGTAAATGATGACAGGATTTTCTTCCCTTAAACCTCGAACTTAGGTTCTCAGAAACAGTTCCTTACCTGAAAGTGACCTCTCTTTTGTCCCATTTAGAGCCCTGGGCGACATAGCGTTTTTTTCTTAGGTTGCTCTTCAGTTCAGAGCCAAATTTATCAGGAACGCCACATCTCGGCCTCTGCATTGCCCTGACAACATCAAGTTAATGCAAAACAAAAGTTATTCAATCAGAAAGCTGGCTGCAATTAGATGTTTAATTCTCTGTCAAGTCAGAAATTTGTAGTAGTAATACAACTATTGAGTAACATGTCTTTCAATGGTTGTAATTCCCAAATTCAAGATGTGTAAGACTGGGCGAGACTTACGAGAGCGTAGCTGGATCCATGGTGCCAGTGACGGTGAGGCCGTAGAATTTCTGCATGGCCGAGATAGCGGAGTTGATAGATTTAGGAGAGCGAATCGCCTGAGCCCGAACATCACCAGGAGGAAGATACCCATACTGCTGGAGCCATGCCTTGGAGAAAGCAAATGACACATTATTGCACAACATATACTGACAAAACACTTAATCTCACACTTATTTCACTCTACTGACACTATAGGATGAGATCAAGTGGAATATTAAAAGTATTGCCTTCTGCAAAGCTTCTGCAAAGCTGCTTAATAGCTAAATCATGCTTGTTTTATTATTTAATGCAACATATACACTGTATTTAACACTGAGCTATAGAAACGTGCAATATTTATTATACGATGATACTGTATCTGTTGGGTAGTGGATTGAGTTTGTCACCCACTTTATAAAAAAAATGCAAAAAACTCATTCAAGGCCACTTAAAAAGTACATTTAAATAAAGTTAATCAAGCAAAACATTTCTCTACATCTTTCATTTCTTTTGTAAGTATAAAGCATTCTTGCTGCCTTAAATTTATAAGTTGAATCACATTTTTTAGTCATCACAACTTTCATCTAAATGTGAAGTTAAACTTTGTATACCTTAAAAAATTTAGTTGAAACCTGATTAACTTATCAATATAAGTTAAAGCAACATAAAAATATTTGTTGTCCTCAGTTTTTGTAATTAAAGCTTTTACAGTGTATGCCATAGTTAACATAATCACACATCTGATCTGTTTTTGTTTTGTATCCCCTATGAAATCCAAGCAGATGAAGGGTATGCAGAGCAACACAATGATATTGAGCACAGAAAAATTTCCGCTGGATTGAAATCTTTCCATCCGATGAATCCAAACATAGTGTTATGAACAATAAATGAAGTGATTGGGCTGTTTTGTATATTTATATGCCACAAGCTGCAAATCGGACTTTCGGACATTCACACGCTGTACTAAAATAGTTTCCAGCTGTTAAAAGATGTGCATGCTCGCCAATCCTCCTGCTTCTTTTTGTTAAAATGCAGACTTAATATTTATCTGTTGAGGGAGACAGCAGGCATATACACCTTTGTGAAGCACGGCACCTTGTTTAAAAAATGCACCATCAAAAACAAAACAAGGTGCCTGTGGAATAAAAGTCTGAAGCAACTTCATTTATTTGCTACTTCTCACACATTGGAAGGAGAAATTTAAAATGACAAGTTTTTTTATGCTATTCATAAACAACAGCTCACTCCATGGGTCATGTGTCATTTCAAACATGCAAAAAAAAATGCTTACATATTCAATTCAATTCATGTTTATTTCTATAGATTATTTACAATGTAGATTGGGTCAAAGCAGCATAGAAGTTCTAGTCATTTGAAACTGTAGTACTTTGAAGTTCAGTTTAGTTCAGTTTAGTGTGGTTTAAATTTCACTGCTGAAAGTCCAATCTGTTGATTGGATAAGAAAAGAAACATAATCAGATCCCTTCGATCCCGGGTGAGATTCAGTAACTTATAGAACTTATATAACATACAAAAAAAAAAAACATTGATAAATTCATAATTAATTTATCAAATAATTTACACAAATCATTTGAATCAATGATTCAGTGATTCATTCATAAACTTTATGGTTTATGGCAGTCGTTTAATGAGGTGATTTAGTGCTGAATTGAAAGGTTGAGTTAAATATTGACAATAATTAAAGGGATAGTTTACTCAAAAATTTAAATACTACCATCATTTATTTACCCTCCACTTGTGACAAATGTGTTTCTTTCTTCTGTTGAACACAAAGGAATATATACTGAAGAATGTTGGAAAAAGCAGCTGTTGACTTCCATATTAATTGTTGATCTTACAATGAATGACAATGACTGCTTTTTGTGTGAGAGTAAATAAGGGAAATTAAATGTTAAAGGAAATGATCATTTTAATAATAATGGAAGGCCATCCGCTGCATAAAACATTAGCCAGAGTAATTGCTGGTTCATTCTTCTGTGCCACTGATAAATCAGAGACTAAGCTGAAGGGAATGTCATGATTTTAATAAGTATGATGAATCCTGGATTAACATCTATGTTGATCCTAGAACATCCTTTTGTTTGAAAATGTAATCCATACCCTACCCCTAAATCCAACTCTAACTGTAAATTATTCACAAAATTAGAGAGGAATATTAGATAACAATCATGTAGAAGTACATAAACCTAACCGCAAGCCTAAACTTAACATAAATTGTAAACATATCCCTTAATTCTGACTGGCTGATTGGAATGTTATTCCAGGATCAACGTAGATGTTCATGCTAGAACATGTCCTACTTGTTGAAGTCAGATTGGTGAAGCCGCACGATAGTGAATGGTATTTGTCAAAATCACCAGAGATCTAACCCTCTTATAGATCACTGGAGAACATTCACATTAACACTACAATCCTGTCTCCATACGAACTACAAGTCCTGTCATGCACCACACACAGACACACCTGTTCCAAGTCTCCTTTTTGATTAGACTCACACAGCTGAAGCTGCTCATGTACTGATTACTCACATATATATGGCTCACGTTGACTCTCTCATTGCTTAGTCTTGTTTGGTTTTCATAAAGTAACATTACAAAGCGGTCCCTGGTATAGGTTCTATGTGTTTTGAACCTTGCTTTGTTTTATCGTTTACCCTGTCCGGTGCCTGTATCGACCATCTGCCTGTTACCTGACAACACCTCTAGATTGCCTTGTTTTTTCCCATTGTTCCCTGTTTTTGATCATTGTCTATTTGACTACGATTCCTAATAAAACCTGCATAAGGATCCTCACTCTGTTGTCTCATGACTCCCTTGTGGTTACAATAATAGTCTTTTTTTGAAAATCTGTGATTTCAGGGCTGCTTTATTTGATAAGATTTGCATCCTGGTTATATATTTTTAGTTTATTTCTGTTATAATCTTCTTTAAAACAATATGTATTGTATAAAGTGCTCTATGATTAAATCTGACTTGACATCCATCTGCACCACAACTTCACTTTAACATTATAATCAGTCAAATTCACCATGTATTAAGCAGTATAGTTCACAGACACCCAGAAAAGTTTCTCTGGAAAACATCCCCACTTCTGTCAGAGCATGAAATAGCACAGGTGTCAGTGCTGTCGCGGCTGCAAAGGTGACCTCAGTGAATTAAAGGTTTGAAGTTTTAGTCACCGCTGCGAATGTCTCCACATGACATGCTGTCTGAATTTATAAAAACTAATTGTACATAAACCTGCCAAAGTCCACAAACATCAGTGATGGACCGCAGTGCAAACACAAGATGTGTGTTAGTGTATGTGTGTGTGTGTGTGTGTGTGTGTGTGTGCTTATGTGACCTGGTTAAACTTTGGTGGGTTAGAGAGTGTGTGGATGCTCAGAGGCTTTAACTGTGGCTTGTGTGTTGTAACTGTAAGTGACTGTGTGTCTGAGACTTTATGACTCTAATTTAACTTGTACATGTGTGTGTTTCCAACCAAGATATACTTTGGGGATGTATTTGCTGGAGAAATGTCCCCCAAATTTTATCAAGGCCTTTTTTGCGTTTAAACAATACATAAAGAGTTTAAATGCAAATACTTCTAAGTGCTATGTGAACTTTTTTTCTAAAAAAAAAATCTCAGCCTGTTTATGTTCAGTTATTTCACTTTAAATGCAATGAACATAACATACTGTTTGCATTAAAAGTAAAATTACTGAAACAACACACAACAGTCTGAGAAAAATGCTTATTTTAGATGAAAATCTTACACGGCACTAAGAGGTTTTTGCATCTAAACTCTTCATATATAACACTTACACACACTTTAGTTTTCATTTAACTTTAACTTAAAGGGATAGTTCACCTAAAAATACATATTTCCTCATTATTTACTCACATTAAAGTGCAGGGATCGCAAAATCTGGTAGCCCGATGTCTCGGGGCTGTTGTTGTTTTACCAAAATCTATCTACATGCTGCCCCGCGGGCTAGTTGGAGGAAATATATATTTCAACACCTTTATATTCTCTCACAAAGTGTATAACTGTGTATGTTGTGCTGCTGATACAGCTGTTTTTATCCTTTGTTTAACACAGATAAAGACATTTTGAAGAAAACGTTTTATGTTTAAAAGAGAAAGAAACACACTGGTCTGAAATGAGTGAGTAAATAATGACACAATTTTCTAGTTCAGGTGAAATATCTATTTATGGCATCTTTTTTTGGCTATTCATGTTGTAATATCTATAGCTAATTCCATGCGTATTCAATAAAAAAAGGATAGGGTTATTTTCAATGTCAAAAATATTGGTAATTTAATAGATACAAATAAATAATCTGAGGACAGAGCTCTTTGTTACCCCAATGCAATAGCAGAATAACATTCAGAAGGTTCACAACTAAATTACATTGCCCTGACTCCAGCATGCATACGCAACTAATATTAACAGGTGGAGTTTTGGTGTGAAGTCACTCAGCAGTCATTTTGCAGTCTTTTGGCTGTTGCACCCAAACATACTTCCTCTTTCTGCAACCCTTCTCTGCATACTAGAACTGAACAGTTAAGTATGCAGCACAGTAAGAAAGAAGAAGTATGTTTGGTTAATATATGGTATCATACAAAAGAAAAATATTGAATAATCTGTTGTTACACAAAAGTAACACACAAAAGTAATAGAAATATATATATTTTCCACACAAAAAAATGAAATAAAAACTTTAAAAAGTTAAATACAATTTTAATAATTTAAACAATATATATATATAGCCTATAAAAATGCCATTATATATTTTTTATTTAGCAAATGTATGTTTTTGTTTAATAAATAATAATAAGAAATAAATTTATTTTCTATCTGGGCTACTTAATAATTGGGCTACCCAAAACTTTGCGAGCCCTGAAGTGGTTTTAAACTTAAAATTATTTCTTCTGTTGAACACAAAGGAAGATATTTAGAAGAATACTGCTTTTTCAAAGTACACTTCAGCATGTCTTCCTTCTTGTTCAACTGAACAGATAAACTCAAACAGGTTTAGAACAAAGGGAGGAGGCGTAAATGATGACAGAATTTGCATTTTTGGGTAAACTATATCCCTTCAATTAGAATTCATTAATTTCTAAGA